GGAAGATTGTTTTGATGATTTCTAGGTCAAGAGCAAAATTAATATTGGTCATCTTTGGTCAAAAACTAGGTCACAGGAGCTAAAAATAGAAAAATCTTGTAAATGCTCTAGTGGCTGCAGTTTTGATCCAAATATCCTGGAAATTGATCAGGAAGGTTGTTTTGATGATTTCTAGGTCAAGTTTTAATATGGGTCATCTCCCGTCAAAATCTAGGTCACAGTTTTGATACAAATATCCTGGAAATTTATTAGGAAGGTTGTTTTGATAATTACTAGGTCAAGGTCGAATATTGGTCATCTCCGGTCAAAAACTAGGTCACAGGAGCTAAAAATAAAACAATTTGTTAGCACTCTAGTGGCTGCAGTTTTGATCTATATATTCTGGAAATTGGTCAGGGAGGTTGTTTTGTCAAGCTCAAATATTGGTTACCTGAGATTAAAAACTAGGTCACAAGGCCCAAATATGAACACTCAAATGGTCACATTTTTGACTCTATTGTCATTAAACTTGGTCAGGATGCTTGTCTAGTCATTAATTGCTTGGAGGAGTTCGAATATGGGTCATATCTAAGTAAAAACTAGGTCACAGGAGCTAAAAAGAGAAAAATCTTGTTCACTCTCTAGTGGCTACTGTTGTTATACAAATATCATGGAAATTGGTCTGCAAGTTTGTTTTGATGATCTCTGGGTCACCTTGGGCCCAAAATAGGTCACTGCTCAAATATGGAAAAACCTTGTGAACACTCTAGAGGTCACATTTTTTACTTAATTGTCATCAAACTTGTCAGGATGCTTGTCTAAGTATTTGCTCGGATGAGTTTGATGGGTCAGGTGAGCAATCTAGGGCCATCTCGACCCTCTTGTTTAAAACACCCAATATTTGACAGTTCAAAATTCAAGGGAGGGCAAGTTCAGCATAGTAAGAATACTGTTTAAGGTTTTCACATTGATACATATCATATTAAAGTTAAAACCTGTATGGAGAAAAATTAGTTTATAGAAGGAGTGTGATATATGATATATCACATTGATGAAATACAGTATATTATTCATCATTGTACCCAAAAAAAGGGATATTAGATTTTATTTGTTCACACTAATATCTGTAAAGATATTGCAGCGTGAAAAAAGAAATATGTAATAAACAGTAAGCTTTGTTGGTCAGTGTTTTCTGGAGAGTGATAATATAGATTGTATCATAGTTTGGGGACCTTTCTGTTGAAAATGTGACAGAGTTAAATCGTATACATATACATTCACAGTGCGTTAACTGGAGTGCAGGTATTAGTTACCCGCACTCCAGAGCATCTCCATTGATTGGTTCATTTTGTCCGGGGTTTAATATTGTGATGACAGAGAGAGGGAAAGTGACAGAAATATCATATTCAGATGTTCGTTCATTGGTTACTTTTTTGTGGGGTTTCATTTTGTGGCATCAGGGAACGTGTTTTATGTTTGACTATGATACAAAAGAGAAAAAACATCAAAACACTAGGGAATCTGATTTATACTCGGGGGGCTACGCCACCTTGTACAAATCAGATAGCCCCTTGTTTCGATGCTCTTTCTATTACTTAAATCTCATTAATAAGATATAGGTTTACCAGGCCCCAGGTGTCATTGATTTTTCTTATATTTATGTATATAGTAAAAACTTAAAAAATCTTCTTGTGAAAATTCAAAAGAGCTAGAGCTTGGATATTTGGCATGAAACATGTTCTAGTAAATGTCCACCAAGATTGTTCAAATAAATGGAGTCTATGACACCTCGACCCTTTGATACCTCTACCCCTAAGACATCTTGACCCATGACACTTAGACCCCTTAGACACTTAGACCCCTTAAAATGACCGGACATTTCGACCCCTTATTCTATAATGTACCTGAAGATGTTCACTTCGAAAACATAATGTGCATAAAGACATAAATGTAGAAAAAAGTTAATTTGTTTACCAGTTTGTTTATTATATATAATTGTCTAGGTGATAGCTCAGATGAGTTCGAACATGGGTCATCTCGGATGAAAAACTAGGTCACCGGAGCTAAAAATAGAAAAACCTTGTTAACACTCCAGCGGTCACATTTTTGCCTCAATCATCATCAAACTTGGTCAGGATGCTTATCTAGTTGATAGCTCGGATGAGTTCGAACATGGGTCATCTCGGATGAAAAACTAGGTCACAGGAGCTAAAAAGAGAAAAACCTTGTTAATACTCTAGTGGTCACAATTTTGACTCAATTGTCATCAAACTTGGTCAGGAAACTTGTCTTGGTCATTGCTGGGATTAAATCGAACATGGGTCATCTCGGATGAAACTCTAGGTCACAGGAGCTAAAAATAGAAAAATCTTGTTAACACTCTAGTGGCTACTGTTGTGATCCAAATATCCTGTAAATTGGTCTGAAAGTTTGTTTTGATGATTTCTAAGTCAAGTTCGAACATGTGTCATCTCGGATGAAAAACTAGGTCACACCGCCTAAATATGGAAAAACCTTGTTAACATTCTAGTGGTCACATTTTCGACTCAATTATCATCAAACTTGGTCAGGATGCTTGTCTAGGTAATTGCTTGGATGGTTTCCAAATCGCATGTGAAACTAGGTCACCGGAGCTAAAAATAGAAAAATCTTGTTAACACTCTAGTTGCTACTGTTTTGATCCAAGTATCCTGGAAATTGGTCTGAAAGTTTGTTTTGATGATTTCTAGGTCAAGTTTGAATATGGGTCACCTGGGTAAATAAACTAGGTCACACTGCTCAAATATGGATAATCCTTGTTAACACTGTAGTTGTCACAAATTTGACTCACCTGTATTGAGACTTGGTCAGAATGCTTGTCTAGGTAATTGTTTGGATGAGTTTGATGGGTCAGGTGAGCGATCTTAGGGCCATCATGGCCCTCTTGTTTAAAATCTATTGCCGATAAATTCAAAGAAATTTAAATTTTGGTACTTTTCTGGCCTATTGTATTTTACAGGTAAGAGAATGTCTATGCCTGCATCAGCATCACATTACTATGCTCAAGGCTGCTGTGCTCCTCATAGCCATCTGCATGGTCACCATGAAAATCAGTGCATCAGTATGTCAATTTTATTTTAGGTAAGCCAATATCTTGTTCATTTTTTCACATACTCCCCAGTGATGAAATACAAGGCAAGTCTCTTAAGAAAACATTTACAAAAAGAAAAGGACACAGTGACAGACTGGTGCAAAAACAACATTTAGATATTTAGATTTACAATAAGGTTTGATTCAAAACGAATTACTGATTTACAATTACATATACTTGTTTTGAGAGACTACCGGCCATGTCTGCTCTTCCAAATCAGGAATTGAAGCACGGCCAGACAGTTTATGCTGTTAAAATTAATGTTTTATTTTTAATAGCACTAAGCCTGGTGATTGCTATAACATGACCTAGTGATTGAGATTGTGACTGTGTTACTTGAAACTTGATTCAAAAATATAGATATCTCTGTATTTCTGGAAATCCACAGGAAGAGAATAATCATATACTTTGTAAATATGTTTACAGTTTATGTTTCTAGAACTATGCGACATACAATTTGCAATAACATTGGCATAATGCTTGAACTGTGTTTGTGAAATATGATTGAAATCTTAAGTGATCTCTTATAAAATTTACCATCTACTGGAAGTGTGATTTATTCCTTCCATACATGTTTTACAGTTTTATGTTTCTTCTACTTTGTGAAGTGCATATTGCTATACATTTAGCAATAAGGATTGAACTGTGTTACTTGAAATGTTGTTCATATTATGTGATCTCATATATTTTGGTGAAGTCCACAGGAATGAGATTTATTTCTTTTAAACATGTTTTACTGTTGTATGTTTCTACTGCTATGTGAAGTGCATATTGCTATACATTTAGCAATAAGGATTGAACTTTGTTAATTGAAAAGATATTTATATTATGTGATCTCATTTATTTTGGTCAAGTCCATAGAAAGTGTGATTTATGCTTTTTAAATGTGTTTATAATTTTATGTGCATAGCTATTCAATCCTTGTATGTACCTGAGATGTTACGATTTCAACTTCTCAATAATTATTTTGTTGTCGAAGGATTTACTGTTGTATTTCCACTACAACTTCATAATAACGTTATGTAAATTTGGGCCAATGATTCATGTTCTGGTTTACATTTGATTTTACTTTTTATTATTCTGCCAAATCATCATTCTTTTCATTTTTGGTAATAACAATGCGAACAGTTATTGTAAGGATATAAGATTGTGACAAAGTGTGAGATATTTGCTGGTCTAAGTGTCAGTAAACTAAAACATTAATCAAGTCCCTGTCATTTACAGCACCAAATTAATTTCAATACTTCTGGTAGCATTCTTGTTAAGATATTGTTTATTCTGTTATGTTTTGTGTTATCTTTTGATGAAGCTTTGTTAAATTGTATGCCTTATTTTAAATAAAAAAACTACATTTCAGGTGACCATTCAGATGATGGTGATGATCACTGCTGTAGCCTTCTGCTGGGATGCTGATGCTGTGGTTCAAAATTAATGGTTTCCCTCACTTATACGGTAGAAATTTTATTGTAGAAACAGTATGTGTAAAGGTAAGAATAATTTACATTTATATAAGCATCGGTAAGTTAAACAATTTAAGTTGAAAACTCCTATTTTTTGCCTCAAAATGATCCAATAACTCCTATATTTCCTGCAAAAATATTCCTATATTCCTCTTTTATTTTGGATAAGACCTGGTTGACAGCCTGGGGACCTAGCTTGGATTTGTTGTAGGACTCTCTAAGTTTAAGGTCAAGGTCACTGTTACTTAAAACAGCAAAATGGTTTTGGAGGATAAGCAATTAATTGTAGTGATTATTAGAACAGAGATGAAACATCACAAAATATAAGTCGAGGTCAAATTTTGCTTCAGAAAAAGGTATTGCTAGTGGCTTTAGTGATAGCTCTTTAAGTTTGTTATTATATTAGTGAAATATGAAGATAATGATTTCAGAGCTTATTTGGACAATATTCGTTTGGTGGATGCTGGTATTAAAGAAGTGGTGGAAGTGATTGAAAAGTTTTATAACAACGATGGTCACACAGCCTACATTATGTCATCTGATCATGGAATGACTGATTGGGGTAACACTCATTGTTAATTTTATATTGGATTATGGACAAATTTGTTAAATTGGAAGTTATATTTCATTTTTGATTTAGTGTGCAATCAGTGTCTGTTCTAGAAATTGCAAAATAGGGGTCATTTCATTAGAAAAAAGGGCTTTTTCAGAAACAAGGGGTGCAAATATAAAGTGTAATTGCATAAAATTTAATGTTGTTTATATCAAGCCAGGGCTATTTTTATGGGGGGGGGGGGGAGAGGGGGGTGTTCATGTAAGATTTTTCATCATATATGTCTTATACTTTCATTAACACTTAATGTGGAACATAAAGGTTGAACTATACATTGACTGTACATGAATTAATGAGTAGAATTAAAAGTTGTGTCATATTTTTATGTAACAATAACTAGTGGTATGGATAATACAGGTTCGCATGGAGCAGGTCATCCAAGCGAGACCTTGACCCCTCTTGTGGCCTGGGGAGCCGGGATCAGGAAAGCTGTTCGTGACACTTCATCTAACAAGTTTAAAGATGATTTCTCGAGAGGTATGTTAATTTTCAGCAGTTGCTTTTATCAGGAAAGATTTCATTTCTAATTTGTACATAGTGCATTTCAATTTATTGCTTGACAATCACGTGAAAAAATATATATTATCAAACATCTTGTGGAATTGCTTTACAGTAATCTCAAAACTATGTTATTTATTTTGAGGTCTAACCTTTCCTCATAATTTTTTTCCATTCCAATCTATTCTTATGCAGCAGGGAACATGGCTGTCCTTTTTATTTTAATTTCTTTTAACTATATGTTAGATTTAACATCATATTGATACCAGGTTACTGTAGTAACGTAATGACAGTCATGAATTAAGAATAACACCACACATAATGGTTACTCAATCTCATTAAAATCAGATCATCGTTTTCGCTCCATTACTCTTCATGAGGGTAGTGGAGCAACAGTTAGGATATGATTTTAATGAGATTGAATGGTTACTATATATATGTATGTATTTAGATATACATTAAAAATTATATGAACAATGCTTATAGATAAAGCATATAGCCTTGTACTTTCAATATATTGTGTTCTTATAGCTTGGGTAAACAACTCAAATTCATGCATATATAAACCTGTTATCCTTCACATTTGTCTGCCCTTGTTTAAGCTAGAGAGACATTTTGTTACCTATCTCCGCTTGTACAACTGTTGACTTTAGACCTAAATAATGTTTGGGTAACTGATATCCCACCCCCTGAGAGTAAAGAATGATTGTAGATTCATTGTTCTTTTGCAGAATGGAAACTTGACCACTTAAAGAGGACTGATGTTGAACAGGTAAGCTTGCTTATATTTGTTTTATATTACCAATTCTTAACCTACCTGAACATTTAAAGATAAGCCTTTGTCACCATTATAAACCGACTCCGTGGTCGAGGGGTTAGAGTCGATGACTTCTAATCCAGTTACCTCTCTGGCATGGGTTAGATCCCCGGGAGATGCTTTGGTAGTTTAGCACAGAGGAAGGTAGTCTAGTACTGGTGTAACTCTCCAGGAACGATGGTTAGAAAACTACCCACCTACATGACTGAAATACTGTTGGGAAAAGGCGTAAAATGAAACAAACAAACAAAGTCACCAGTATAGAGCCAAGCGAACTTGCATATTAATGCTTTTCTGACCAGGCTCTTTATTGTTGGTTTTTCATTTTGATGTAGTTTTGTATAAAAATTTGAATAGATTTTACCAAGACTGAGGCAGGGCAAATTTATTGTACAAATTCAGCAGGTTACCATAAATTTTCATGGAATGGCAGAAAAAAAATATTTTGAATTTATTTTCAAAGAATGAGATGATAAAAAATGTTTCATTCTAGTATAATGACCGCTTAGACCTTGGTAAATTTCTTGTATTTTAAACAATGATCTATATGTAGATGTACAGTGTAACTTCCGAATTCCGGAACTTCTGAAATCCGGAAACTTCTAAAAACCGAACATTTTTTTCGGTCCCGATTTTTTCCCTTCTATTTTCTATTAATATAATACTTCTGAATTCCGGAACTTCTAAATTCTGAATTCCGGACGATATTTTCGTAAAATTAGAGTCAAATCAATGCAATTTTACCTCCAAAAACGGGAAATATCCAAAGGTGTGAAATACATTGTAAAACAAGAATTTTTACCCTGCAGGAAGATTTAATCTTCCTCTGCAGGAAGATTTAATCTTCCTATCGATTGTTTACTAATTAGCGGTGATCGTGTAATTTGACACGCGTCAAAATCACAAACTGTGAAATGGTATGTTTCAAGTGATGCGATTAATTAAAGTAATTTACGGCGGTCAGTTAATTTGAAGTGTTTATTAGCGGATTAAATGACAATTTATTGGACAGTGTATGCATCAAACGTCTTTAGGGATTTTATTGCATTTTATGTAATAATTAATTAACTAGCATTTGCAGGTAAGATAAAAATGTATTCTTTTCATGCACATCTTTATCTTGATTAAAAAACTATTATATATGATAAAACAGTAATGGCCACATCTTCCTTGACATTTAGTGATAGTAAGTGGCTAAGTCTTGTCCACATTATCATAAACCTCTGAATTCCGGAAACCTCTGAAATCCGAACTTTTTGAGAAGTCCCATGGGTGTTCGGTTTTCGGAAGTTACAATGTATATATCAAAATTATACATATGTTAATGTTTTACTGATACTTGGTATTTCAAACAGATTCATATGATAAGAAAATGACACTGTGACAAAATTATGATAGTTCTGCATTAAACATCTTTTACTAGTTATGTCTAAAATTTGATTTTGTATAATCTATGTCCAAATTCAGCTGACTGTTGTCCTGTATTCATATGTATTTACAATGAGACGTTTGTTTTATAATTACAGGCAGATATAGCCCCCTTGATGGCAGCATTAATTGGGATAAACTACCCTATGAACTCTGTGGTAACTATATTATAATGTTTCTGTTTATTCACAAAAGCTGTTATAGACTGCTTTTGTCAAGCAGTTAGATGTTGGCCCCCATTGAAATGATAAAAGCAGTTTCATGTGTGACTGTCACAAGGATGCTACAGACCAAATTTTAAGTAAATCTGCCTAGCAGTTTCAGAGCAGAAGATGATTGTTGACGCAGGATGCCACAGCATCCCCCTTTGATACAAATAGCTCACCCTGAACCTTCAGTTACAGATGTTGACCTCAAATCATTTTCTCCTTGTGTCATGGCAGGTTTAAGTCTTGAGATGTACGTTTAATTTCTTTGTTTAACCTGGTAGATTGCAGGAGGTCTATGATTCCACCAGCATTTTTGTCTGGGATTTAAATAACGCAAGGAGAGACACCTGATTTCCATTTCCCTCTGTGGCCAAGAGGTGTAGGTCTCTGAATTTGAAATACTTGCCCCTTACTAAGGTTGGTTTGCATCCCACCAGAGTCTTTGAATGTGAGGAAGTAATTTATTTAGCTCATATAAGGTTTGTGGTTCTTGTTAGGGGCTGACAAATCACTGAAATATCTTACATACAGGCACCCCTGATGTCACCAGCCACTAGTAAAGCTTAAAAGTTGCTATATAACATATTACATTGTCAGCTTCACTAAAAATGCAATCAAAACATGAAATTCCTTTCTTTAAATCGTGTACAATAAAAATAGATAACATATATTTATTTAGAGCATTGTATGTATCACCATTGCCTTTCCTTTGAACATAATGCCAACTGTTGAATGATTGACTAAAACTATTTGCCTGCAATGGCATGAAATAATTACAAACCGTTGTGATAAATTTGTAAATTATGTAAGGTCAGCATTGTTGTTTTGATGGTTATATGATGCAATACATTAATGCAATATATTAATCATTTTCTATAGTTCTTAAAATTTAGAAATTTATATTTCTACTTCAATGATTGTCTTTTTTCAGGGAATTTTGCCTCATGACTTCCTTGATATACCAGAGGGTGACCTTGCTGAAGCAATATATGCTAATGTTAGACAGTTACTGGAACAGTATCAGGTAATCGGAGTATGCTAATGTTAGACAGTAACTGTTCACAGGTAAACTGATTTATGCTAATGTTAGACAGTTACTGGAACAGTATCAGGTAAACAGATTATGCTAATGTAAGATATTTACTTAAACAGGTAAACTGATTTATGCTAGAAAGTTACTGTTCACAGGTAAACTGATTTATGCTAATGTTAGAAAGTAACTGGAACAGGTAAACTGATTTATGCTTATGTTAGACAGTTACTGGAACAGGTAAACTGATTTATGTTAATGTTAGATAGTTTCTGTTTAGATAAATTGAATTGTGCTAATGTAAGACAGTTACTGGAACAGATAAACTGATTTATGCTAATGTTTAACAGTTACTGTTCACAGGTAAACTGATTATGCTAATGTTAGACAGTTACTGTTCACAGGTAAACTGATTATGCTAATGTTAGACAGTTACTGTTCAGGTAAACTGATTTATGCTAATGTTAGATTGTTACTGTTTAGGTAATGAAAGATTGGTGATAATAATCAGATATGTGATCATGACTGAAAAAATGCATGTCTGGTCTTCCTCTACCAGAAAAGCTGGAGAACCACCATATGATCTATACAGTGTTGAGGTGACATATATCTTACGTGAAAAAAAAAATATGTATAGAATGTATATATTTATGCTAATTTTGAAAACAAACACATGTGTCATGTTATAATTGTGGATTTTATCTTTTTTTAGCAGTGCTTTGTTTTATTTCAAATTTTGCATTTTTCAGGTGAAAATGGAACTGAAGAAGTCTACAACACTTTCAGTAGCATTTAGGCCTTTTAGGTAAAATCATCTTCTACTTTTTGCAATCTGACTAAATTTCAAATCTACTTAACTTATTTCTTGCATATAGATCTGATTGCCAAGGATGTAGGACAAATCTAAAAATGACATGATGGACAAAAGCCCCCATCTATAAAATGAAAAAAAAAAGCCCCCCCCCCCCCCCCCATCAAAATTCCAGGTAGGACAAAAGCCGCCCTCACATCAATCAAATTGGTTTAGCAATAGCCCCCCTAAGGTTTATAGACCAGACTGACCTTCTATCTTTTTTCACACACCCACATGGTTCAATTCATCAAGGTTCACACTAACTTTTAAATGAAAATGAAAATAATTTGTTTTTAATATATAAATATAATGCATAATATGTTTTCTAGGGGGCTTTTGTCCTATATGTAGATTTGAAGGACCAGGGGCCATTTGTCCTATATGTTAATTCAAAGGGGGGCTTTTGTCCTATGTGTAAATTTGAAAGGGGGCATTTGTCCACTGTGTCATTTTTAGATGGGAGGCTTTTGTCCGAGGAGAGCTTTTGTCCGTATCCCAATTGCCTTGGTATTTGTGTTGCCTTCATTGTGATTTGGATTTCCTGAAAAAGCCATTTTTAGCCATGGAATCAAAATTTCCTTTACAGACAGGCATTAAACAAAGTATCAAAATATCGTGTCCTTGGAACTTTTGTTGATTTTTGTTAGAAAAAAATTATTGTTTGAAGTAATTTGAAACAAATAAACTGGAGAAAATCGATTCAGTTTTTAATGGGCAAGATTGTTTTGCCATTTTACATGCCAGTTTTATGGACAATGCTATGTTGGTTCTCAAAATTGTAAAAATTACCTCCTCAGTATTGGTTTTCCAGCAGTTAAAATTAGAAACTGCATCACTTTCTTTCAAAGTTGTGAAAGCTTGCTGTTGATCGTCTGTTTGAAAGGTCAGAAGAAGGTGACCCCCTATTGGTGTCATCATATATAAATGCTTACATGTCATTAGGAGCTGATTTTAATCAGATTGCTACTTTTTGATAATATTAACAGTTTTTTGGTTTCTTTCAGGGAAATAAAATGTTAATACTATAATAGATTCATTCTCAAAACTTCATTTTAAAAGCACATTATATATTGAACAATATTACCCACAAGCTTAGCTTGTGTGATATATAAATGATGATTAACTGCCATGTTCTTAAAATGCTTAGTCCACTTTACCATGGGAAAAGATTTAATTGTTGAGAAAAGAAATACTAAATGAACATAAAAAGATCGTCATAATAATACTATCAGATTAAGATATTTCATATATACACAGTATATACTCTCTTTCCTTTAAAATAGAGTTGTTTTCTTTATTTTTCAGTGATTTGACCCCTACGAAGTTGGTAAGAAAGTTAATTTCTTGTTGTATCAACTATGTTTTTAAAGAATCACATGATATTACATAATGATACATTGTAGCTTTAAATGTCATTAAATAAATTTGGATTCTTTCATGTGAGGAAGCTATCCAGCTAGCTTACGGAACGTCGGTGGTTCTACTCAGGTGCCCGTTCGTGCCTGAAATATGCACAGAAGTGCACCTGAGGTCTTCCTCCACCAGTAAAGCTGGAACGTTGCGATATGACCTATACTGTGTCGATGTGAAGTAAAACCCAAAACAAACAAACAAATAAATTTGTCTGAGAGATTCTGATTTTTAAGTTTTCCTCAAATAGTTTTAATGAGATCTTTTAAAAAAAATTTTTTCAAATATGAAAAATATTATCAACCTTTTCCTTGATGTCCAAAAATATTTTGTTTTTTACATTTTACATGCACATCTATTAAACGTATTTTTCTATCTACCATAGCAATGTACCTGTTTACAGTCCACCTTTTCCGCACAATATTGAATCTGTTGATCAGTGCCTGCTTTCCAATATATTGCCTCACATATATTTTTCCCCACTCTCAAACAAATACTTCCTACATCAGTTGAAAAAAGTCATTTTCCAAAATATGGCTCACAATATAGTCCAATAATATGTTAAAGTTTTAAGAAATAACTGTCAAACCCAATTCGATCTTTTTCCCTTGATAACTTTATGTTACAGTCCTGTTTTGAATTTTGAGATTGCTGATGTTTTTTTTTCTTTAATAGACTTTGAATATAGAAATTAAAGCAGCCAACATTGTAGTGTGATGTCTTGTTGCATGTATTAACTGTATTTATTTTATTACTTCAGGCAGAAACACATAGACATATAAGACAGTTGATACAAAATGGACACTTTAGAGATGCTGTAAGAAGTTAATATTCAATTTAGCCCTTTTAACCCAGCTATTTATAAAAAAATACATGGGGATCTATTAAACTCGCCCTGGCATCAGTGTCAGCATAGGTGTCACACTTTGTTTAAGCTTTTATGTGCAAGTGGGTATCTCCAAAACTACTGAAGGCAATTGGTTTAAACTTCACACACATATTTTAAAGTATAATAGGAGGTGACTGTCCAAGGCCTTTAACTTTAACATGGATTATTTACAGAATTTTGCTGTTTTTGGACATTTAAAACATTATTCAAGACTCTTGTTTTACTATCAAGCACTGAGAATAGTCGAGCATACTGTCATACCAACAGCTTGTGTTATATTGCATATTGCAACATGATGATTAACTAAGTAAAACTTTCTTACTTGTTAGTTGGTAACTAGAAATAAACAAATTGTCACCTTAGTGCAATAACTGCTTAACTTCTATTAGATTTAGGAGGACTTAACCTGTTTCTACACTAAGGTAACAATATTAAGTTTGGCTTTTAATGAAAATTTACTGCATTGTTTGTGTGGTATACGACTTTGATCACAACATACAGGATCTTTAATATAGATAGAACATGTGTATGTATCTATAGAAATTAAAATTAATTGTAGCACATATGATTAAAGGTATCAGCTAACTGATTAAAATAATAAATTAATTAACATAAAAGTGTGGTCTCCTAGTTGACTAATTTCATTGGCTAAGTTTAGAGGTGACATGTGATCAGTTTCTGTAAATGTCAGTTTTGGAAGAGATTTATTTTGATTTAATAGCACTTTGACAATGAATGATTTTATAGCACTTTGACTAAGAATGATTTTATAGCATTTTGACTAATAATGATTTTATAGCACTCTTACTAAGAATTATTTTATAGTACTTTCACAATGAATGATTTTATAGCACTTTAATTAAGTATGATTTTATAGCACTTTGACCAAGAATGATTTTAAAGCACTTTGACAAAGAAAGATTATATAGCACTTTGACTAAGAATGATTTTATAGCACTTTGACAAAGAATGATTTTATAGCACTTTGACTAAGAATGATTTTATAGCACTTTGACAAAGACTGATTTTATAGTACTTTGACTAAGAATGATTTTATAGCACTTTGACAAAGAATGATTTTATAGCACTTTGACTAAGAATGATTTTATAGCACTTTGACAAAGAATGATTTTATAGCACTTTGACTAAGAATGATTTTATAGCACTTTGACAAAGAATGATTTTATAGCACTTTGACAATGAATGATTTTATAGCACTTTGACTAAGAATGATTTAATAGCACTTTGACAATGAATGATTTTATTACTCTTTGACAAAGAATGATTTTATAGCACTTTGACAATGAATGATTTTATAGCACTTTGACTAAGAATGATTTTATAGCACTTTGACAAAGAATGATTTTATAGCACTTTGACAAAGAATGATTTTATAGCACTTTGACTAAGAATGATTTAATAGCACTTTGACAATGAATGATTTTATAGCACTTTGACAAAGAATGATTTTATAGCACTTTGACAATGAATGATTTTATAGCACTTTGACTAAGAATGATTTTATAGCACTTTGACAATGAATGATTTTATAGCACTTTGACTAAGAATGATTTAATAGCACTTTGACAATGAATGATTTTATAGCACTTTGACTAAGAATGATTTTATAGCACTTTGACAAAGAATGATTTTATAGCACTTTGACTAAGAATGATTTTATAGCACATTGTCAAAGAATGATTTTATAGTACTTCGACAAAGAAAAAGGTTATATGAAATAGAAATGTCCTACTTAGTTTGATGCAACATCACAAAATACTGGATAAAATCAATACCTACTATTGTTGAATAATCATTGTTTGAAAATGTGAATATATTTTGTCAAAGAAAATTCTGAAAAGTTTTATTGAGATAAAAAACTAACAACAAATCACAGCCCACACTTCTTGTTGTGAAATTTTCTATTTTACCTAAGCAATTGCATATTACTCTCTCTATATGCATATGCAGTCTATTTTTAGTCCCCTACCAGTTTACCGAAGGGGACTTTAGGTTTACCCTCCGTCCGTCTGTCTGTCCGTCAGTCCGTCCGTCTGTCCGTCCGTCAGTCCTTCCGTCCACAAAACTGGATCCCGCGATAACGCAAAAAGTACTGAAAATATTTTAATGAAACTTGATATATGGATAGATGGCAGTATGGAGATTATGCACGTCTTTTTCTTTTCTTCCTATGTTAAAAATTCTGGTTGCTATGGCAACAAATAGACTGAAAATAAGGCAAATTTTACACATAACCTGGATCCCGCGATAACGCAAAAAGTACTGTAAAATTTTTATGAAACTTGATATATGGATAGATGGCAGTATGGAGATTATGCACGTCTTTTTCTTTCCTTCCTATGTTGAAAATTCTGGTTGCTATGGCAACAAATAGACTGAAAATATGGCAGATTTTACACATAACCTGGATCCAGTGATAACACAAAAAGTACTGAAAATATGTTTATGAAACTTGACATATGGGTAGATGGCAGTATAGAAATTATGCACATTCTTTTCTTATCTTCTTATGTTGAAAATTCTGGTTGCTATGGCAACAAATAGACTGAATTTCAAGATTTCTGATTCTAGTTTTTAAGTTTTTTCACTATAAGTTCTTTATTTCTTAAGGTATTTTCTTCAAACTTTAAGTATAAATTGCTTGTCATCAACCACATCATATGTGACAAGGTTTACAACTCTAGCACAAAATTTATCAGAATTACCTCCCTTGAACTTAAAATTTTCATGAAAAAAAACATTGTTTTTTAATAACTTCTTTTTCTGAATGTATCTACTTCAAACTTCATATAAATGTTTCTTATTATCACTCAACATTTGTGAGTGTTCAATACTCTAGCAAGACTATTTCCAGAATTATGCCCCTTTTGAACTTAGACTTTTTTTTGAGAAATTGGTAATTTTTACTCCAACTTCTTCAATCATGATAGGATTTTAAAAATGTTATATTTTGATAACAGGGATGTTTAAAAAATAACTTTAGAGTGTCCTTCAGTCCGTCTGTCTGTACATAAAAACTGTTTCGTGTGATCACTTTTAAAGAACTTTTTCAACACTTAACATAGGAACCTAAGTGAATGGCCAATGGCCCTTCAGAATGTTGCTTGGGCTCTTACCGGTAGGGGACTTATGGATTGCTTGCAATACTATGATAATTGCTTGTTATACATGTGAAAGACATTGTTATTTTATTACAGATCAATGAATGTAAAAGAGTAATGGAGATAGCTTTGAAAGGCATGAGTTACTTCCAGACCTATGATAGATTCTTCCTAGGGTAAGTTATCTCCCTTCATTATTTTATGTTATGGTCGGTTTGTTCAGGCAGGATTGTTCCTGATCAGATTTGAAGAATGATCAGCATCAATTTAATAAAGTAAAAATATGTTTAGGTGTTTAAAAGCAAAATTTTAGAATAGTTGAAGTAACACACTTGTATAAAGTTATAGAAAAAAAATACCAAAGTTCATTGTGTCAATTGAAGACTACTGATTGTAAAAAGCTTTTGGCTTTGGGAATGCTTTCTTTTATACAAGGTAACTGTTTACATGTTATATCTTGTTATATGTGTTGATGTTTCTGCCATACAGTTCCATGCTGATTAATTTCATTAAAACAGTTATAAATCCTGATATGACTTGAGCAAGGTTAATAACAAAAAAAAAAGAAAATAAAAAGGAATAAAAAAACTGATTGGCTACAAAAGATTTTAAATTGTCATTTAAGTTTGACAGTGAGTTATTGATATTTTGTTGATGATATGTCTGTTCCATAGGTAAAATAACTAGCTCATTAAATTAAAAAACTGCTTAATATTTCACAAATATAGTATTTCACATATATGAAAGAAAGTACATGTGAAAAAAAACAGACAAAAAGCTCAAGTTGATTTTATGAAACTCACTAAAACTAAATTTTTACTGATGACTTATACTGAAAACTTTATTTGTATTATTCAGAGCAAGTATATTTAGTGGATTTCTGGGTTGGATGATGTATGTGTTAACATTGGTATTTGAGAAACATAGTGGTGTAGTGAGACCTCGACTTAAGCTGGAGAAACAGATGCAGCCCACCTGGAGGTCAGACACAACCATTTATGTTACATTTGGATGTCTCGGTCTTCTTATCACCATACTCTTGTTTGGTATGAACAAATACTATTTATTTTAATAGATTTACCCGGATTCAAGAATATTTTAGCTTTCCCCAACTAATCCAAGGGACTTTCTATATGGAACGTTGGTGGTTCTACTCAAGTGCCTCTTCGTGCCTGAAATAATGCAGGGAAGAGCACCTGAGGTCTTCCTCCACCAGTAAAGCTGGAACGTCGCCAAATGACCTATACTGTGTTGGTGTGACATGAAACCCAGTGAAACAAAAATCAAAAAAATAATTGTCTAAAGTTTTATATCACAGAGAAAATATGAAAATTTAGTATTCCAAATTATTACCTTTTTACTGTTTTCTTATTTAATAAACTGGAACTTTGGATGACTGGTTAAATATGACTGTAAGATTGAGAAAAAAGTGTTATGTATTGATCTTTCAGTGCAGTCATTGCCATGGACTAACTACCTATACTGTCTCATTCCTGTTGTACTGTGGATGCTGGTGGCTCTAAGGTATCTATACATTTTTTTGCACATTGGAATGGATTTTCTGATGATTTTTTTCAATTTTTAGCGTGACTTTGAAAACTTGAAATAAAATTGAGGTATTGTTACAGTCTTGGACGCGTTCATGTTGAATTGTAACTGAGAAATTTTGCAAACTCTCTTGATCATAACTAAAAAAATAAATTGTGTATTGTCTTCATACTTGGCCACAACAACCCTTTGGACAAGACCTTCAAGTAGACTTAGACTAAACTTGACCTTCATTCATAATTTACCTTGACCTTCAAGGTCAAATGTCTAAATTTTGCTTGATTTTTGCTGATTTTGCTATTAGTGGCTATATTTTTGTTATTTTTTAAATGGATTGTCTTCAAATTTAAAGACAAGAAACTTTTAGGATAGACCTTTATATAAACCAGACAGACATTGACCTACACTCATGAATGACCTTGACCTTTCGGGTCAAATGGACATGTTGAATAATTTAGATATGACCTTGACCTTTTAAATGACCTTGACAGACAAATGATTGAATTTTGCTTATATTTTCTTAACTTTGTATTCTGGTGAATATTACTAATGTCCCTACCACACACCATGAAGAGAGACATGTTATAAGATATACTATGCTCATCCTTGAGTAAAATATGTTATTCACTGAAATTTTTTTGAAACCTATGAAATTCTTAATGAATAGTAAATGCAGAAATGCAGTGTTTGAAACATGCTAATTTTATCTTTTTGTTATTAATTTTTTTTTCAGATGTGATATTTTGATACAAGTGTATGGATATATGAGAACGATGAAGAACAGGACAGACTTTATTGTGGCAGTACTTGCTTCACTAGTTGGCCTTGAGATACTAGTAAATATTTTAATATGTTTTTTATTTTTTCATAACCTTTTCCTAAACACAATAATTCCTAATTTTTTGGGAGCCAAAATTTCTCAGTGACAATTGATTTTGGACATTGAGTATGATGGTCATTTGCCTCACAAAGCTGATTCAGAAATCATGTGGGATAAGTCTGTTTCTAGCTGAGATTTCGGTATAATTACTGGTTAGTTATCCAGGATAGCTGGTTAGGTGGACTGACCATGGAGATAGTACTCAAAACATGTAAAAAAATCTGCCTAAAAACAAGTAAACTCTACTTGTCCTTAGTATTTCAAAAAAATTGATCTTGAATAAGTCATCAGTGATGACTGATTTGCATTTATAGGTAGTTTTAAATTGATTACCCGAAATCAAGTTCAGGAAACAGGCAGATCTTTATTGTATGAGTTAAAGTGTATGTTATCATATGAGGGGTGTCAAACATAGTCCCAGCATTTGTTTCACTGGATTGAAATTTAAAAAAATTGCATTGCTCAATAATAACTTTTTCTGCAGATTGAGTGTTTCATTTTTTTCATAAATGATTATTATATATGTGCTTATTTAAGCACTGTCAGTGTGTATTTGCCCATCAAACTTATTTTAATTAAAAGCAGAAATTACAGAATTAAGAATGCCTTCTCACATGCCATTTACAATTTTTGTAGCTAAATGATGTGGTCCTATGTTTGAATAACGATGCCAGTGTTGTATGCTTATGAATTGTAGCATTTCAAGACCAGCATTGTCTACAAGTGGATTCTTGGTCATGTGATTTTGCAACTATACAACATGAATTTCATATGTGAAGCCTGGGCTATGTGATTTTACAATGATACAAAATGTATTACATATGTGAACTCTGAGCTATGTGATTTTTAAATTATACAAAATTTATTTCACATTTGAACCCTGGGCTATGTGATTTTGCAATTATTCAAAATGTGTTACACATGTGAACCATAGGCTATGTGATTTTACAATTATATAAAATATGTTTCACATGTGAACCCGGGGCTATGTGATTTTGCAATTATACAAAATGTGTTTCATTCCTGAACCCTGGGCTTTGTGATTTTTAAGTTATACAAAATGCATTTCACATGTGAACCCTGAGCTATGTGATTTTGCAATTATACAAAATGTATTTCACATGTGAACCCTGAGCTATGTGATTTTGCAATTATACAAAATGTATTTCACATGTGAACTCTGGGGTATGTGATTTTGCAATTATAAAAAATGTGTTTTACATGTTAACCCCGAGCTATGTGTTTTCAGGTTGTAGGATTTTTCTATAGAGAGATGTTAACAGTTGGACTTCTACTCATTGCAATGTTACCATGGGTGTCTGGAAATTCACTTAGATCTAAGGTTGGTACATTTTTACTTTGATGACTTCTTTGGTTGGAAATATTTGGATAAAATATTTAACTTCCAATGATTATCTCCAATATCTAAAATTTATAAATTGTAGAAGATGCCTATTTTGTTTAGAAGATGCACAATATGTTTATTACACAGTATATTGATTATTTTCTTCGTAGATTACTGGTGTTATTTAAATAAATTTCGTTTTATGCAAACATTATTAGGCAACAAGTGAAACTGTGTAGAAATAATTGAAAATTCAAGATAAAAGATTTGGTGTTATGTATGTTATTCAAGTATTGTGGATGTTATCATCAATGTATTCATCAATAGCTCTATTTTATATGTGTTATTTCAGAGACAACTTTGTCAGTGGTCGTTATCGTGCCTGGTGTTATCATTGTTTCCACTATTGCCAGTGGTCACTGGAAAAAGACATCTTTTATATGTGTACGTATATGATAATTATTTCTTTGTTCTTGTTGGTTTTGTACAAGATTTCACAATGCTTTATAACCTGAAGAGCAATAATCTTATCTGTTTTAATCTAAATGTTTTTGCCCCTTGAACCTGATGCCATTTTACCTGACTTTGTCCAAAAATTGACATGTTGCCACTGACTTACATAAAACAGGTTAGAGAGGTACTAAGATTTTTTGCCTATGGAATATAAGGTGTGCACTATTAGAACAAAAGCAAAGGAATTTTTTCAAAGTTTTTAAAACTATTTGAAAAAGTTTAAAGATAAAGTACAGATAATAGATAAGTACATGGGTGTATATATGTACATGTACTGTTTAAAGGATATTACTGCGTGCCGAAAAGTTAGTGAATTTAAAATTCTAGACATTTTGTGCAAAGAAATATTAGAAAATTGCCGATTTTGTAGTAGCATGAAAACTAGAGGTCTTGAAGTTTGCAAACATGCTCATTTCTGTATAGCTAATACACAAGAGGATATTTTAGCATCAGATTTTCATCAATTTGCAAAATTTGCCAATATCTCCAAATCACTAACTTAACCACTTACATGGCATTCACTCTGTGAATAATGTAGAACACTATAGCGACCATATACAAAAACATCTCCTTTCCATTTCATATAAAATATTACAAACGTAAGATTGATAAAGACTTGTTTTTATTTTATTTTCAGAAAAGTTGGAGGGGCTTCAGTATTGCTTGTGTCACTGTATCATTATTTTATAAAGTAAGTATCAAATACTACTTATGTATATTCTAATGTTATTCTTACTTTTAGGATGCAATTTTATTTACTTGGGTAAAAAAATGTCTAAAGCTTTATTCTCATGCCCCTCTTGTGCTTAGTAATGTCAACAAATGTTGGGATGTTTGTCTGGTATGAAACTATATCATCTTCTTAACCCTAGCACTTGTCTGGAAAAAAGAATGTTTAAGTTTTAAGTTCTATTACTTTTAATATATGTTATAATGTTATTCCCAAATATACCCTGTGAATGATGACATGCTTATGAATCTCTGTGTCATAGAATTTCTTGACATGTCCAATTGTAAGGACATTTTACTATGGATTAAGCCTTAAATCTGAGTAGCCATAGTAGCTGACTTTGGATCATTTGACATTTGCTTAGAGGGTAGAGGGTTTCTATTCACACCAGGGACTTTGAATTATTTCATGTAAAGAAGCTATGCAGCAAACTTATGGAAGGTCAGTAGTTCTACTCTTTTGACTAATTCTACCTCAAGAAATGCATAGACGAGCCACCTGAGGTCTTTAACCTTAGAATTGTTGATCTTAAATTGAAAAAAAGATTATCAAGCCTATGATTTTTGAATTTACCAAAATTTAACAGGAAGTAGCTGCCACAGAATTATCTCCTTGAAATACCTTATAAAGATCAACCTTTTTTTTTCAGGTCAAAGAATTCTACATATTTTACTTTCACAGATAAGATTTTATATTGTTTTCAAGTAAGTAAATCTTAATACTGAGAACTTATATATATTTTTTATTTAAAGATGTTTTTGGGAGAGGTGCAAATTTTGTATTGGCAAAGACGATAAACTCATTTTCAGAGGCAGATTACTAAAACATATGATGGTGACCCTCCCCCACCCAAAGTTAAGGAAACTCTTGTGTGCTTGTTTAAATTTTCCTTCTGTGCCTATGTTAAAAAGATGCAGTGTTCCCACAAACATATTCAAACCTCTTTAAAGTGATTTTCTTATATTAAATGCTGAGTGTGAATATTGATATTTATATTTTTTGCTTGAAGTGGCTTAAATACAAGTTATTCATTTCCATGAAGTTACTCTTGCAATTTTTAGAAGAAATGTTTTTGTTTTTATTAAATGATATATATTATTTTCAGATTGTTTGTGTTTCCATAGCAACATATTTCTCAGGTTTCATTGTTTCATCTGGAATGTCAGAATTACAGCATGCAATAAGCTGGTTCATTTTAGGTAGAGAATTATTTTATTTGTTTTATTATCTTTATAATTATACTACATGCAATAGATACAGACACCATAGTTGTAGACAATACACGTGTTAAAGGGATACTCAGGCAAATTAATGACAAAAATATCAAAATTATGTTATGTGTATAAATTCTTTTTTTGGGTTTGAAGCGTAAATATATTTATATATGTTGAACAAAATTTAGACACTGACAGAATCACCGAATAGTTTTAAAACTAGTCATGTGACTTGAACAAACTGTGGAAGTTACAATAATAGATATTGTGGATATTGTATGATTGACATAAACCTAAATCATTCATTTCACATGTCCTTTAACGTTTTAATATACACTTTTTTAACTTACAAAGTTTCAATAATCTGTTCTTATGTTACCATGAAAATTGACATTAGTATACTATCTAATGGACATTTCTTGTATTTCAGGTTGCTGTATGGTGCAGCCATTATTCAGCTCTACGCAGATTTCAACACGTCTTCATGCAGTTTACCTTGCATTTGCTGCCCCATTTATATTGCTGAGCGTCTCGTATCCTTAATCTCTACCGCATTGAAAAATGTTACAGTTGAACCTGTCTAATTAGAACTCATCTGGACCAGAAGAAAAGTTCGGATTCGGTCTTTTCTTCTGGTCAGTTTCCACTGTATTTCATAGATCTATTATGCCTATAGTCTAAAACTGTCCGTTGTAAATTTAAAGAAAGCAGCGTTAAGATGACAAGGTCAAACAGCTATGAGTTAAGTATTGTCCATACAGTACAAACAGTGCAGACTCACCAGGCTATAAGTTAATACCATAGGAAAGTCATTTCATCAGCTAGAATTCAGGATAGTAATAAAGTTAAATAGGCACAATCCTTTAATTAATGATGAAAATTTGTCAATAAATTTTTAACATTTGGGAAGTGGCTGAAGGGCACTTAAAATTAGTGATGTTCCGATTGTCGCAAGTCGCCGATAATCAGTTACTGTTATGTAAAGTGACAATAATCAATTCACAAAAATTTGTTCCGCGACATCGTCGAAAATGTTTTAAGTATCAAAGGGAATTAATTTTGACGTTAATTTTCTTTAAGGAACACCTCGCCGATCGCAAAAAATAATCATCTGAGAGACAATTTGGAGTTGAACAGGATCAATAAGTGATGTAAACAATAGTAATATAATGTGATGTGAATGCTTTTATTTGACATCCATTGAAAAATAAAATCTATTTCGTAAAATTATGACTATATAAGGTTAAAACTGTGTTGAAACATGCTAAATGAAGTTCATGTTACTGAATTAATCAACTGCCTTGGGAAGAAATGTTACTTCCCTATTTCTTTTTAACGCGACTTTATTCAAAAAGTTATCAATTATGGCCCATCCGATTGAACCGATGATCGATTGGGACAAATTTCATCCGATTTCCATCACTACTTAAAATAAAAAAAATGAACAATGACAACATTCTAAAATTTTAAGTGTGAACCATTTCCCTGTGCTTTAAAAGGTTTTTGTTTGCATTTTTTTCTAGAAAGTCAAGAAAGAAGGTCTGGTATTGACTTCATAATACATGAGGTGTCAAACAAATAATAAATAATAAATCAAGGTAATCCCAGCTTTTTAAATAAGTCTTTTAAATTTTTTGAAAAGGGAAAGAACTTGTCTTTGTTATATCTTATATTTAGAACTGACAGCTTTTTCATTGTTTATATCCTTAACAATTGTCAGATATGAGATTTTGTTTTTTCTTGCTTTAAGTATATTACTATACCAATGGTTACAGATGGAATGTTCCCAGTTACCAAAGTCGTCAAATAGTTCTATGATAGAAATAGGCCGCAACTTGGTATGTTACAAACTATTTTTGTCACTTCATAATGGTGTTTTTAACAGTTGAAACTGTCCATTATTTTACAGTCGCACTACTGTTGCCAATATCTTCTCTGTAAGTTCTTTTTAAATATGTTGAGTCAAAGCAATTGAACTTTTCAGTGTTGTGTAAATTGGCCAACTGAGTATCCAGTCACTATTCTGGGATGATACATAGTCAGTTGTTGACATGGGTTACACAAAAGAACACAGGGTTTTGTTTGTAAGCAGTTGACCAAGCAATAATTAGAAAAGGCGTGGCTCAATTTTTTACTGCTAAAAACTGGAAACGTCCATTGTATATACTAGATGGTCAGACTGAAAAAATAGTAACATTCAACATTTTGAATACTCCAATAAAATGCAAAAAATGTAGTGTATTTGCTATGTTAAATGATTTCAATGAATTGTGCGACTATTAAACTCATTCTTGTACCCATGTCCACATTCACTAATACTTGGCTAAAGTTTTTTGTGTAACTTATTATGTAATTAATCAATGAAATTTTTCACTTATTTTCTTTTGTTGATATGAAGCTTGTTCTATTTACAGCTAGATATATTTGACTTTTGTAAGCAGAATCAGTATTCAACATTGACATCTCGTAATTATCTGGTAATCGGAGATATTCAGAGAGCTTTCTACTTCGTATCCTTTAAAACAAAACCATGTTACATTACATTTGTTTATACAAATTTTGTTTGACTATAATACCATTAATACATGTATTTTGAAATGATGTGATGTAGGACTTTATGTTAGTTTCTGATATAATAGCTCTAAATAAACTGTAACTTTACTATACTTTTTATGCCCCAACAAAGTGGGGGGCATATAGCGTTGCACTTGTCCGTCTGTCCGTACATCTGTCCGTCCGTACGTCCCGAAATCCTGTGAACGCAACTCCTCTTAAACCGGATGGCAGATTTTGCTTAAACTTCCAGGGATGAACAACCTTAATGTGTAGATGGTAGTAAAGGAAGGAATTTTTGCTGCGACCAAATTTAACAGAATTATGGCCCTTTGTTGATTTTTTCACTATATACTATGTAGAAATTTTGTGAACGCAACTCCTCTTAAACCGGATGGCAGATTTTGCTTAAACTTCCAGGGATGAACAACCTTAATGTGTAGATGGTAGTAAAGGAAGGAATTTTCGCTGCGACCAAATTTAATTCTATATTTACTCTATACTGATGACAGCCTGACTCTATACTGATGACAGCCTGACTCTATACTGATGACAGCCTGACTATACTGTTGACAGCCAGACTCTATACTGATGACAGCCTGACTTTATACTGATGACAGCCTGACTATACTGATGACAGCCTGACTCAATACTGATGACAGCCTGACTCTATACTGATGACAGCCTGACTCTATACTGATGACAGCCTGACTATACTGATGACAGCCTGACTCTATACTGATGACAGCCTGACACTATACTGATGACAGCCTGACTATACTGATGACAGCCTGACTCTATACTGATGACAGCCTGACTCTATACTGATGACAGCCTGACTCTATACTGATGACAGCCTTACTCTATCCTGATGACAGCCTGACTATACTGATGTCAGCCTGACTGAATAATGATGACAGCCTGACTGAATAATGATGACACTGTCTGACTGAATAATGATGACAGCCTGACTCTATACTGATGACAGCCTGATTGAATAATGATGATAGCTTGACTCTATATACTGATGACAGCCTGACTCTATACTGATGACAGCCTGACTCTATACTGATGACAGCCTGACACTATCCTGATAACAGCCTGACTGAATAATGATGACATACTTATGACAGACTGTCTTTATGCTGATGACAGCCTGACTCTAAACTGATGACAGCTTGACACTATCCTGATAACAGCCTGACTGAATAATGATGACAGTCTAACTCCATACTGATGACAGCCTGACTCTATACTGATGTCAGCCTGACACTATCCTGATGACAGCCTGACTCTATACTGATGACAGCCTGACTTTATACTGATGACAGCCTGACTCTATACTGATGACAGCCTGACTCTATACTGATGACAGCCTGACTATACTGATGACAGCCAGACTCTATACTGATTAGAGCCTGACTCTATACTGATAACAGCCTGACTTTATACTGATAACAGGCTGACTATACTGATGACAGCCTGACTCTATACTGATGACAGCCAGACTCTATTTTGATGGCAAAGGTAAATCATTATCAAAATATTACCTTAACACATGTACCAGGTGTTCATCATTCTTACAGGATTCTTTGGGACAGGCAACATTGCCAGTATTAATAGGTATGTATTTTATAGTTTATAATGAAATAAGAAAATAGTTGTCCTGCACCCAATTGTAATATGAAAAAGGCAAAGCCTCAAAGCGAGCTCGATGTACTTTTTACATGAAATAGTATAAATAATCGCTCATTTTTATTTCAAATGCAGTAACGAGTGCTTGTGACGTCATACGTACTGTGTTAAATATGGCTCTGCCCCTGTCGTGAAATGAATAACAAGTTTTGAAAACGTTGATAAAACTATGTTTATTTTCTTTCACTCTATAACTTTTCAAGCGAAATAAAGATTATTTAAAGTGAAATAAACGTAAAACTTAAAACGTTTGCGACATTAAAATAGCGTACTTGATTTGTTTGTTTTGCACGTACTGTTTGGCGCTACATTGTGACGTCACGTAAACAATACTTTAAACGTCTGTACAGCGTTAACGACTGAATAAAAGATATTGGTGTTCGGATTAATTTTCTTAGTTAGACCATTTTCTTTCATTCTAGATAGTTTTCACAACAAAATTCGACAAAAATTGTTTTTTTTTTATCAGATTTCAAACAAAATGGCGCCTTCGATTTTCATTTTTTATACACAGCTTCCGTTATTCTGGTGCCCTGTCCAATTATGGTTCCCATAGACGTGCGCGGGTGACCAGTCTACACATCCGTTTTCAGTCAGAATTCCTCAGTTTTTATCGTTATCTTTAAATTCGAAAAGTTGCGATGTGTCCAATTCGGTACTTTGGACGAAAGTTTTCAAAACCATCACTTAGCAGGTACTCGCGTTACCGTAAAGCTCGCTTTGCGAGCAGGCCCTTCGGGCCAGCTCGTCGAGCTCGCTATAAACGTTGGTTAAATTAACCCTGGGTTAAACGCTAACCCTGGGTTAAATTTAACCAACTTTGGTTAACTAACCAATTTGGTTAGTCACTTGTATAAACCGAGATATTGTGACCTAAAGGTTAACTAACCAAAATGGTTAAAATTAACCGCTGGTTAAACTAACCAAAACTAATCCCGACATGCAATTAATTCTATATCCGGTTATGTTATTTTCGCGGAATATGTCAAAATTAACACATGGTTTACGCTTCCATTTTTATTACAATCGAAAATTTTGATAGTAGAGTTAAAATCGGTTCAAATTTTCAATTAAGATGTTAATTGTCACCACACTAATTACATATCATCATTAAACAAATGTACAAAATATAACTTTTACGTAGGATGAACTTGTTTATGACCTCGGAACTGATGTCACGGAAATTAAATTTAAATTTATACCACGAACATTGTCGCTATAGATATTTGCCTATAAACATGGTTCAGAACGAATTTATTATGTTTTTCATGTAAAAATATTAGTAATTGTGATTATAAAATGACGAAGTAGTAAAATAAATTCGTATTTTTCCATTTCTACTGACGGTTCTTGTCGGTAATTAGTGAGACCGCATGGTTGCTATGGGCTTTGTTTACAAATTAAAATGTACTGCAAATGAGCAAATATCAAAATCATCCGTCAACTGGGACAGAAAATGGTTAGAATGTTAATAATTTCATACAAGAACCACTCGATGCAGAAGTATTGACGCATATATTTCCTATCAGATTCGTACATAAAACGTTCGAACCCAAAATATTTTGTGTAACATCAGATGTAATTTTTGAATGATTTTTGCCCCAAACTACTCTCTGTAGTTTCTCTATATAATATATGAAACTTCTGTTTCAGTAACTTAATATCATATCAGTCACCTTTGGGAAATCTTGTTGCATTTTCCAAAGCTATGTTTCATGATAGAAGACCTTTACTGAAAGTTTACCATATTATAGCAAAATAAATAATAGAATAAAGGTCTAGTTCTTGCTTATTAACCTAAACAACAACAAAAAAAAAACATGAAAAATACATTAATGAAAACAAAATCACTTTGCTTTCTTGTGACTGTATGACTGACATCCTTTATTTTAAACATTCAACATGTTTTATAATTCTCACTAGTCACAGCACTGAAATGCAAAATCAACTTGGTTCCCAGCAGTAAATTTACTAAACAGAGAAAAAACTAAATGATCAATAATTATGAAAAAGAAAACAATAGTCATCTTAAATTTACCATAATTAATTCATGAACAATCAAAAATGATTTTTAATTTACCTCTACTTCAATTTTGTATTATTTTTGTTTAATACCCTACAATATTATGTTTAGGAATTCTTACATCTTATATAATAATTGTATTACTTATACATGTATCTTGTTGTTTAAAATACTTAACACTTAAATGAATGATTGGAACCTGTCAGTGAGGCTGGCCAACATTATACTAGTCCAAAGCTTTAGGAATAGGCTATGTGTCAGGTAGCAAGACACCTTAACCCCCCCCCCCCCCCCCCTCCCCAGACACTTCACCCCTCAAATTTTGAAGACACTTCACCCCTTAAGACACTTCACCCCCCAAAATCAGTAAGACACTTCACCCCTCATCCATTTTTTTTCTATAAAGTAAATAAAACAAGTTGGTCAACAACAAAATGCTTATATAATAATATATGTTTATATTTATTATATGTCATTGAAGTAGGTAAACCAGGGTTTCAATATATGTACATAATGTAATGAATAGTATATGACTGTTACCCAATAAACAATAAGTTAGCCTATATATACTTTAATAAGTGCATACATGTAGTCTATATCTGGTTGAAAATTAAAAAGTGTCCAAATATGTTTTCTAGAATTCTATATATTGTTAAATTATTATTATTTTGTAAAATATTCTCATCTACATTGAAAGTCTGAATAAATTATTTAATAAATAAAATACATCCTCATTTAACAATGGAATATTGGTCTAAATCTCTCTCTCCCTCCCTCTATTTATTGCTTATTTATTAACCCCCTCTCTCCCCTCTAAGAAATATCAAGAGTAGCAGTGGGGATGAGATATTGAATAATATCTCCACATGGCCATTTACAAGGTATAATGCTAAATATACTCAATAATGCTTTCATTCATCTGAGTTCAATCATAAATATTTACTTTCATTGTTTACATTATATAAAGAAGAAGTATTTTTAAAGTCAAAGCAGTTTAATTCAAAATATTAATAATAAAAGAATTGGACATGAAATTGTAAAAACAAAATGTATTTCTGTTTGAGTACCGGTACATATAGAATGAAAATATTAATGTTAAGAATTGCCTTTTTCCCATTCAGTACTATATTGTGGCACATTAAATCAGACCTAAAGCAGCTTCCTATCCTTAGAAAAGTAAAACAATCTTTTCAATAATTCATAAGTGAGAACAAATATCTTGTTGTCCAGTTAAATTCTGATGATTGTGTCAGTGTGTATGCCTAAATTTAGTTAATTTGGAAAAAAGACCTTTATTTGGAAAAAAAAATGAGGCTATTTGGGGACATTTTACAAGTTGAAAGTTAAAAGGTTGATAAAATAACTTTATGTTATATACTTGTGTGTGAATTCATGATCATAAAGCTTGTAACTTTCTTAAAGAACTAAGTAAAAAAACAGTTTAATTTTCATCAGAAGATGACATTGTTTATTCTTCCCTGCTGCTAGAAATAAACAAGCCCTTTATCAACCTTTGATGAGAAGACAAATTGCCTAGGTCATCATTCTGGAAATTTTGCTGATCAAATTAGGAAAATTTTTTCAACAGGGAAATCTTCCTAATTTATAGAAAAAATGTATTGTACTCTACCAAAAAAAAAAAAAAAAAAAAAAAAAAAACAACACACACATGCACACACAAACACATATGTCTGTAATGATACTGGAATGAACTTAATTAATAACTAACTTAATTGCTTTGGATATTCCAAATTTCAGTTTGATTAGGATTTTTTTTTAAGATTGGGAAATAATAAGCATGGTTATATGTTTTACAGTATTTGCATTTTGGAATCTGCTTGATATATATCTGCTAAAATAATTATCAATGTATCATCAAGATTCTTTTTTGGAAACTATTTAATACACATTAAAACACTTTTTGACTGATTTTACTCAAGATGAGCCAATATATTTTATGGACATCAGCTTAGCAAAATGTACATTGTCCTAGGATTTTTAGAAAAGTCAAAATTCAAGTTTAAAGTAATTTTTTTATAACAGTTGTGAACAATTGATGATTTTTCAGTATTTATCACCATATTTCTACTGTATTACTTACGCAAAAAGGAATTTTTGCATATTTTGACCTCTTTCTAGTCATTTGTATGGTTGCTGATATGTTACACTTTTGCATGTTGCGTTGTCGTTTATCGCCTTTTTTCCTTGGCGCTACAAAACGTGCCAGACTGTGGCACGTTGTCCCCATGTCTCTAGGCTTATATCAAGGGAATGGCGTCTTATTGTGCTATCGCATGGCTCGAGTTGTTGTCGCCAGCAACAAAGCAGATGTCACGGTTCAGAACTGTTCACTAATTATGGGAGAAAATGTGTAAAAGGCAGGATAGCTCAGTCGGTAAAGCCGCGGAACGGTATTCCGAGGGTCCCGGGTTCAAGTCCTGGTCAGGCTGCACATTTTTCTCACCCTTTGACATTTGGCGCCCAACTGGTGACTGTGTCTGCATATAGCTCAGAGTTTAATTCACATTGCTCTGTAACAATGTGAAATTTGAGGACGAATTACAATATAGCAGGGGAGTATGTAACGGTTCAGGGGAGAAGATGTGTAAGCGGCCGGATAGCTCAGTCGGTAGAGCTGCGGAATGGTATTCTGAGGGTCCCGGGTTCGAGTCCCGGTCAGGCTGCACATTTTTCTCACCCTGTGACACAGATTTAAGCCCTAATAAGCTAAAATTTCCATTTGAGTCAAGCCATAATGTGTCAACAGGCCACACACTGCGAGACAACCTGCCAATTGGCTTGTTTCGCTAGCGACATGACAACAAGATGTCAAGGCCTGACAACAGAGCAATCTCGACTTTTTGGTTTAGGAATAACAATTCTTTAAAAAGCGGAAGCAATGCATGAAATATGGAATGAACAAAATATACTCTTTTATATGACTTCCTACTTTGTTTTGCCAACTTTCATCACAAAATGCAACAAAACACAAAAAAGTCATGCAAACTGTTTGTCAACTGATAGTGTCACAAAAAGTTAAATGCATTATCATACCTTCATCATAATCATAATGATAAGTTCAGCAAGAGGATTCTCTAAGGTGATATATCCTGTCAGTCTGTAAACCTTGAATAGTTCATGTTGTTATTGACAATTACACGAAAACGCACACATATGTGTTGATCGAAACAAAATTTACTGATCAATCACAAAGTATACAGCCTCATGTTTGTCTTTGCAGGGATCTCCCGCTGCGTACTGGTCCAGAATGACTTCGTAATTTAACTCCTAAATTGTCCTTCAAGTCTATCCTCAGTATGATCTTCATTTAATCGGTTTAAAATGATATTTTGTATCATGATTTATCCGAATTATCCGACACTGACAGCTGATTTATTAAACTGTTTATTTCCGGCTCTGGAAAAGTTTGTTTCCGTTTCCCGTCACTACGCAACTTAAAAAAATATCGTTGCCATCATATACAACCGATAATAGTCTATTTCGAAGCAAAAATGAACAAAAGTTGAGACGAAGCGTACAAACGGCAGCCATTTTATTTCTGGTTAATGTTTGGTTAAAATTTAACCCACCTCCTATACGTGGGTTAATTTAACCAGAAATTTACGCTGGTTAAATTTAACCAAAATTTTATACAATCGGTTAACCAAAGTTTAACCCAAAAGTTAACCTAACCATGGATTTAACCCAGTGGTTAAAGTTAACCAACGTTTATACAATTGGGTGCTGTTGTCAATGGCAACAGTGGTCAGGCGTAACAGCACAAGATGTAATAAAACATTTAAACAAAATGTAAGGGAATAATATCTCTACCAGGTGTTATAGCCATAGTATAAGAGTCCTTGATTTGTCACTTACACTTAACTTAATATTCTATCTAGTATCTTTATAACTATTTTCACAATTTTATAGGTTTTGATAATCATTGTTTTCGTCAACTGACTTGCAAAGACTAAAGCAAGAGCTTTTATTTTGTGACATTTTGGTACACTAGTGTCTTTTAAAACATTAAGTTTAAGAGTTTTGCAGATTAGTTAAGTAGAATTTTTTTCATTCTAAAAAGAAAATAATTTGAGTGAATGACAATTAATACTTCAGTTATAACTTATTACTGTTAATTTTGACCGCCTCTGTGGTCGAGGGGTTAGAGTCGATGACTTCTAATCCAGTTACCTCTCTGGTGTGGGTTCGATCCCTGAGAGATGCTTTGGTAGTTTAGCACAGAGGAAGGTAGTCTCATACTGATGTAACTCTCCTGAGGAACGATGGTTAGGAAACTACCTGTATATATGACTGAAATACTGTTGGGAAAAGGCATAAAATGAAACAAACAAACAAACTGTTGATTTTTTTTCCTGTTTACCCTCCAAAAATAGCTATACTGATAGATTTGATTTTAAAATGTCATATATATATTTTTTCTATTTTCAGTTTTGATCCATCATCAGTATTATGTTTTGTGTCAGTATTTTCACCATTTGTGATGGGTGCTCTCCTTCTCTTTAAAGTAAGTTAATATCCTTTTCTTCATTCACATGATTTGTTTTTTAACAAGTCTCTGATGACCATGATTTTTACTACATTTTATGACACATCAATAAAATTTTGGTTATACTGGGAATTTCCAGTTTAAAACTGCCACCTCAAGACACTTCACTGACATTTACTCACAATATGTCGATACCGATATCTATGAAAACTTTGATAATGTATTAAAAAGTAAACTATTGTGAAGTGAACAATGAAAATAATATTCACATTTAAAAAACGGCGTTTACAACCCATGTAAATTAAAGAAAAAGAAGTCAAAATAAATTATATAAAAACATGTCTTTTTTACTATGGATGCCTAATGGTTGATATAATTATTATAGAGAAGAACATTAACTTGTACATCTGCTGTTGTCTGTCTACTTTGATCTTTTTCTGGTCAAGATTGATTTGTGAAGAACTAATCTATTTTTCATATGGTTGTTGATACAAATTGTATTAAACAAACACTCAAAATTTTATATAAGTTTTCTATATCAAATTGAAGCAAGTAAAATACAATACAATTATGTACACATTACAGTTGTATATGTTCTGTATCTGAGAGCTTTATTGACCTTGACCTAAAGTTGCTGACAAAATCAATTGTGAATTACTTTAGATTTCGTTCAAATGTCAATGAATACTTCCATATGGTGAAGTTACCCATGTAGCTTTTGGAAAGTATCTTTGTTTCTGCTTCATACTGATACAGTTGACATTTGACCTTGACAATGTTGATTGGGCCAAGTCAACAAATATACTTTTTTCTGCTAATTTTTCAGCTAATTTTTCAAATGTTTTCTTTTGGTATTATAGGTTGTGGTACCATTTGTGCTTGTAACATGTACACTTCAAGCAGTCCATACAATAACACAAGTACCTTTTCAAGGTCTTCTCATGATAATACTGCTAATGTCGGACTGTATGGCTGTGGTAAATATAACAACTTTAACTGTCTTCTTATTTTGTAATGTCTAGTTTCATATTTATCTCCTGCGGATCCAGTGCGGTGGTGTTGGTAGTTTTCACTCCATTACTGCAGTAAGCCACATTGAATTTACAAGAGCACAGGTCAGCCACCCCATTGTTCCTTGGCAGGCTGTCAAGCAGTTTACCAGTACTTGTTGCCTCTGATCCAGTGCTGTCTCACAAGCTGTTTTTAATGTCCCCTGTTACTTGAGGGGGATATGAATTGCCCTCGTATGTCATGATGTCCATCTGTATATTGCTGATTCAGAAATTATGTTGGATAGTTACTAGTGTAGAAATTAGTAATTACTGGTTAGTTGACAAGGAAATCCTGTAAGGAGGATTGACTGCTGAGATGTGACCAAAATTTATAAAACTGGCATTAAAAATACAAGAAAAATAACAAGCAAAACACTTCTAGTAATTATTTTTGTAGCAAATTGTTATTGAAATCTCATAGGTCAATAATGTACAGTTTTAAATTTAAACCAAGGCATTTTCATCATACAATTTTACCAAGTATAAACTGTAAGTTAATATAAATGCTCTGTGTAAAAATTCTGTCACGGACGTTCAATAAATTCATGGAAGTAAACTGTAAAGCTAGCTAACTGTAGGGTCATCCATTGAATTTCTTGCAAGGTTGTTTCTAAACTAATGAATGGACTGACATCTGGGGTTAGTTGTAAAATCTCCATTTTGCCTCAATAATATAAATTGCTACCTAAAAACCAACTCTTGTTAAATCATGTGTGCATGGGTGGCTGTAAATTGTTAATAAAAAAAGTTAAATAAGTTAATTATGAATAACTGTTTTTATTTTCAGCATTTCTTCTTCTTGGTGCAGGATTATGGAAGTTGGTTGGACATAGGTACAAGTATCAGTCACTATATTATAGTAATGTGTATGATCATTTTCACGAAGCTGCTATACGGAGTGTCTCACCTACTTACATGTTGTCAGGTGACAAGGTCAACATCCAGCAAAAAAGAATAACGCAATGATACTTTTGTATTGTTTGTACATGTACTCAATCAAATTTTCATATTTTCATCTTTACGGAATCTTTACAATTGTGATTTTAATCCATTAATGTTGGAATTATTTAGATTTCATATGATGATGTACATTTTGATTTTGAGGTATTTTGAAATTGTGATTATTTAACTTGATTTTATATTTTGTAATAATTTAATTTAGTTGAAAAAGATAAGTTGGTAGCATTTATTAAAGATTTTAATTTAGAAATTTATATTCAAGTAATAAAGATTTCTGTGTGTGTTGGTACAAATTCAGGATTGAGCGTTAAGTTTTTTATATGCTGAATGTATTATAATAATCAAAATAACATACAAATTTAGTTCTGTTCTTTGAATTGTGTCTTAAAGCTTTCCTAAAAAAAATAAAATTTAAGAGTGCTTGAATAAAGAAGAATATTAAGTTGTAATTTTTTTATCTGTGTTATGGCCACTTATTAAGCTGCTTTAAAAGGTTTTTTACAGCTGAAAATTTTGTATGTTTTCTAAACTTATCATTTATACTAATACATATACATTGTGCTGTGACATTTTTTCACATGTACACAAAGAGGCAAATATGAATTTAATTCACATGTAAAACCAAGATCTAATCTTTGGTGGGTAAATAATTTTCTATAGCTTTTTTAAAAAAGTAATTTAAATTACAATTTAAGATGTAATGCCATCTGCTCACCATTAAATTGATATAGAATAAACAGGATTGTTGTTATAAATAGTAGACATTTTTATTACCATTTATTTATTATGTACCTCTGTGATAAGAACCAATGATAGAATTTAAGAGCAACCAATACCTTATTTGTTACCAATGTAGGGTAAAAAACAAAATCAAAGTATGTTCTGAAAACTTGCATATATCCCTGGTAAATGTTATAGACAGGAAAATTTTGCAGGGATGTTAATCTAATATTTAATTTACATATAAGGAGGTTTTTATAACTGCCAATCAGACTGCAGGGACATTAAGACTAGCCTTATATCATCCTCTGAAAGTAAAAATGTCAGGAAAATAATGAATTTTACCCCCCAAAAAATAATTTGTTTTATAACACAGTCTAAAATAGGAATAAAGTTTTGTAAAGATTTAAGATACAAAGTTAAAAGTATAATGACTTCAAAATGCTAAATTCCTTGACATTTGAAGCTTTTTATTGGAGTCTTACCTGATTTTTGTGTTATAATGGTTTTGTTTTTATTTTTCAAAACTTTGAGATAAAATCTGTTGCTATTGAATGCAGTTACTTGGCGACTTGAAAACAAAAGAAGTGTAGCTCCTGAGGAAGAAACTGCCAATGTTTTTCACTTAATTAACACATAAATGTTGTTTTAGGCTTAAATTACAGTACAATCTCTTGTTTTTGATTTTAAAGGTCATTTACAAATGATATCTTGTATCACCACTAGTGTTACTTTATGTTTTTGTAAAATAAAAAAAAGTTGAAAGGTATATCTACTGAATTTGTGATGTTAGGAAAGCTTTTGATGAAGTATTTTCTAACAAAAAAAAAAGTTTTGAAATAAATATTTAAGATGTTAAATAATTACATAATTAGTCACCTTAGTGCAGTAAGAAGTTAACTCCTTACATAACCTAATAGGAGCTAACCCATTACTGCAGTAATGTGACAAACCACAGTCCATAAAAATCCCGTCAGGGGCATGGGTTTTTAAATTTTGATTTTTGTTTTTTATTTAATGCTTTTTTAAATTTAGTCTTTTAAAATGATTTCTCTTTTTTTAATTTTAAATTTTTTCCATGTAAATAAAAAATTTTTTTTATTTTTTTAAAAATTTAAAATTTTATTTAAATTTTAATCTTGGAAATATTTATTGTCAAATTTCAGAATCTGTCCGGTTGGGATATTTTTAAAAATTTTTTTACTAGTTTTGGGGTTTTTAAAATTTAACCATTTTTAACAAATACTTTACAATTGTTAAGTGGGGCAGTATTTGTAACCCAAAATTAGAAGTTTAAAACTTTTTTTTGGGGGGTTTTCCTTTTTTAAAAAAAGAAAAAGAAAGGGAAAGAAATTTAAAGAGGCAGGCCCCTTTTTTTGGGTTTTAAAAAGTACAACAGAAAGCCAGAACCCAAAAAAAAAAAACATTTCAAGATTGGTTTATTTTCACACTTAATTTAGATCTTTTTTTTCAGGTTTTTTTTTTGTTATTTTAGTAGTTTTAAAAAAATCGTAAAAATTGTGGGGTTTATAAATTTTTTATTTTTTGGTTAAAATTTCGTGGTTTTTTTAAAAAAATTTTAAGGGGGTGAAACCACGAAACAAAGGTTTTCAGGGGTTTTTATAATTTTTTGGGACCTTTTTGGGGTTTTCCCATTCAAAGTTTCCCCCAAGTTTTGTTTTTATTAAAAAAAACTAAATTTTTTTTTTGCGGGTTTTGATTAAAAAAACAAAAATTTTTGGGGGTTTCTTTAAAAAAAGAATTTTTCCTTTCCAAATTTTTTGGGAAAAAGAAATTTTAAATTTCATGCAATTTGGCAACAATTTTTAAATTAAAGGGGGGTTTTTAAAATAGGGGGGGACCTTTTACTTTCCCCCCGGGCCCTTTGCCAAAAAACCCTTTTTTTTAATTTTGTAATAAAGTTGGTTTTTCCAAAAATTAACCCGAAGGGGAATTGGGGTTTTAAAATTTAAACAGCAAAGGAAAAAAGAGGTAAATTTTCCAAAAGCCCCTATCTCTAACACGGGTTTTGACCAAAAATGTCCATTTTTAATTTTTTAAATTTGGTTTTACTATCATGCACTTTAAAAAATTGTTTAGCACACTTTTTTCACAACAGCAATTTAAAAATATATGGAAGTTTAAAACAATATTTTTTAGTTCATAAGGGGCACATTTAAACAGTAATCATGGGTTATGGTATTTTTCTAAATAAATTTAAATTTTTTATATTAAAAAAAAAAAATTTATTGTTTTACATTTTAAAATTTTTTACGTTGGGTTTTTTTTTAAAAAAATATATAATCAAAATATAACTAGATATATTGCAACTGATTATTTTATGTTATTTTATGTCTTTAAGATTGTAATTTTTCTGATCTTTTGAAATTTGGGTTTATTGAAAATAAATCTTGATTCTCGACCAAGTTTTTTTTTTCTTTCTACTAATTTAATCGAAATTTTTCGGGGGCTTTTTCCCTTTTTTGGAAAAAAAGTGCCCCCAAAAAGGTGACCCCAAGGGAAATCTTTTTCCTATTTTTTCTAGGTTTCAAGAGGAAAATTTTTTTGAAATGGTGGTCAGGTTTTTGTTTTTTTAAAATTGGGATTATTCCACCCAAAATTTAGAAGATGTTTGGTTTAAAAGGGCTTTGTTCTTGAACATATAATTTTTAAAAATGTTTAAAAAATATAAAACACAAAAAATAAAACATTTTTATATACTTTAAAAAAAAAAAAATTTTAAATTTGTAATTTGGGTTTTAAAAAAAAGGGGGTGGGTTTTAAATTTTAGAGTTTTTTTAGAAATAAAAAATGCCCGCTCAATGAAAATATTTATACAAGTTTACAAGATTTTTAAAAAATTTTTCTTTACTGATTTTTATGTAACTGAAAATTGTCCAAGCTTTGATCTGAAGTGCTGAATTTTCAATTATTAAAAATAGTAGTCAGCAAGTACATTTTACAGGCATCATTTTGTATGCGCTCTGAAGAAGAGCATATAGTCACCACCTTGTCGGAATTTGGTCCGTCCTTACAAACACGAGGTTACTGAATGACTATTAGGACAATAGGTATTGATACATTTCTTTGATCCTATTCATTCTGTTTACTTTGTGATCTTTTTAGGCTTATGTGACTAAAAAATGACTAAAATGACTATTAAAGATTCAAAGAAAAGCACATATGTACCATTTTGAAAAATAATGTTTGTCCCGCTACTTGTCTGGATTATTAACTTAGACTACAAGATGATATCTGAGGGACTACAAGAGATATCCAAGAAAAACTTTGTTAGATAGATAGACCTAATCTAAGTAAAAGTGCATGCATTAGAACAGTAATGCTTGCCCTGACTAATTTTGGAGTTATTTTTCCTTTTTTATTTTTACACTTTTAATTTTTTTGGGGCAAAACCTAAAATAAAAGATAAACCCATTTTTTAAAAAGGGTAAAATTTGTTTAAAATTTTGTATTTTTAAAACTGTAAATTTAAAATCTATGAAATTTTAAAATAAAAAATTCGTAAAATTTTTTTATTTTAAAAATTTTTAACACCAAAAACAATTAAATTTTTCAAAACTTTTCAAATTTAATAAAATTTATATGTAATTAAAATTTACCTCGTTTACAATTTTATGAACCAAAGTGGTTACATAAAAAAACTTAAAAACCCAAAAAGGGTTCCAAATGATATTTAAAATTTTTCTGTTTTTTAATTCTTTTAAAATTTTATCATTTAAGTAAAAAAAAATTAAAAAAAATTAAAACCACCCAAAATGAATGTTAAAGGATAATTTTTAAATGTTTTTTAGCTGGGATATATTCTTCTCTATTTTCCAGCGTAAATACAAGTAAGGAGGGACTGAGGAGGAAGACGGTTTTAATTCTTTGCTATCAAACTTTAAAATAAAAACTGGAAATTTTTTTTTTTTTCTGATGAACCAAATATGGTGGGGGTAAAAGTTTTGACATTTTTTACTTTTAGAACATTAAATTCTACAAATTACTACATGAAATTAAATTTGTAACAATTGTAGTACAAAATATATCTAGGCATTATATTTATTAGAGATGTTCTACTGAGCTAATTATGATTACAAGCATTGAGTAACTGGTATATGGACTTTCAACATCACTCAAAGAACATGACTCCTTTTTAATAATTTCCAATCAGAAAAAATCTTGGAAAGGGACATAATATCTATACACTTTTTCACAGTAGCAAAAAATTTGTAATGGAGTGAAAAATCCCCCCCAACCTAAAATGAAGTTTTACATGAAGCACACAATAGTATTATTTCAGAAGTTTGAGATAATGGATCTTAACTCCATGTAAAATCTTCATAAGTGCCAGATTAGCATATGCAACCCTAAATTTTAGTATAGAAATATAATTGTAAAAAGTACTGCGGTGTTACTGGAAATTTTTTTTTTTTTATTGTTAGCTTTTATTTACTTTTTTTTTTTCCCCCCCAAGTAAATACATAAAGGAAGATTTTAACTCTGATAAATTATTTAATGCTTTTTTTTAGAGTTGTGATCCTCTTGCAGTGCACTTCCACTGATTGTACCTATAGATGTTACCCCGAACTCGACAAATGTGGGTTTTTTCCAGCTAATCCGTAGGTACAAACAAACTTACTGTTATAGCTTCATGGTGAACTACCCATCACAATAGATTAGTCAAACTGTTGTGCTAATCGAAGCTGTAACTAAAAAAGTTTGTTTGCACCTACAGATAAGCTGGGGAAACCCCAAAATATTGTTGATTCCTATTAAGTCTACTTATACGTTAAAGACTTATAATAAGTTTTTTCTCCATCTCACTGTCACCTGTTTATATCTTAAGTTTTTCTAACACTTTTGTAGTTATTGCTAACAAGTGCATGTTAGTGTAATTTATTTGATGACGTTAGCGCCATGGGTCTCCTGCCTGATGTAGGTATGACTAGGCTAACAAGTAAGAGTATTCCTCCAGTAATATACAAACTAAATACTGTCAATTCATTTGGTAGATAGCACCGTCTTACAATGAAATCTTTCCCACTGATTTCTGCCTGTAAAGTAAACAAATACGCATCAAAAGCCGTTGTCATAAAGCGTAAAAGAAGAAACATTTAGTCATTTAGTCTAATATACTGTTTCTTTCCTGTAATAGGAATTAAACTAATGTGTTCAATAAATTTGAAGTTTGTTGTAATTTCATGCAAAAATACATGTACTGCAAGTGTATTAAAATGTGATTCACCTTTCACAAAAGTCTATTTACAATCTGTTTAAAGTCCACTTTAAATTGCAAAATTACACATAAATTTTATCTATTTTGTAAACTTTAAAAAGATCTAAAAATACCAGTTTAAAATTTTGAAGACAAACCCCACATAAGGGGTTTGCAAGCGGATCCAGACCCCCTGCGCATCCGCGCAGTCTGATGGGATCCATGTGTTTGTTCCCACCCTATTAAAGTGCAAAACTGAAAGCGAACAGCATGGTTAAGTGCGCAGATGCAAACGCTTTACTTGGGTTTTTGCGGGCGGGGTAGTACGTATAGAAGAAATTCGAAGAAAAGAATGAAAAATCATGTAGTCATTTGGATACATTTGGTAAACAAGCAATTTAAATAAACATTTTCAAACCTTTTTCTACAATTTCTGAACAAAACATAATGAAATCTGTCAAGATGGACTATGACCTTACTTTCGTATTTAGTTATAGGAAAACATGCTTTAAGGAACTGTAGGCACAGATAATCATTTCAACTAAAGAGCTTTATTCTTAAATATAGTGGTTTTTTATCCAAGTTTGACACTAATGGAAGCCTTACCAGCAGAAATGATGGTGCCTTTTTATTTCGCCAGTTATAGGAAGCTACTGTATACTCTGGTGCTCCATTTTCATGTAACCTATAGCAACCATGATGTGTATGAGCACTCACAATGAGGCGAGGGTCCAAATATTCTAATAGCTGAAAAATAACATAAATTCTGTGAACATTTCTTAAACTATCTGCAAATACATGTATAAAAGATATATCATAATATTTAATCTGATGAGAGGAAAAGATATTTGTGAAGAAATTTAATATTAAATTCTCTTTGATCTGATTTTCAATATTAAGTATTATATGATGTACATAATTCACCTGTCAAATAACAAATTGGAACTTCAAACATTAAAACAAATTACAGACTACTGGTTTCCAAGCAGTTTCTGGCCCCAAATTGCGCTTCTTAAAAAATAAAATAAAAATCTGTCTACAGACAAGTACAAAACTTTGACAGATCAAAGTTAGACACCTGTCCAGCATAACCATGTTTTCAATGTTGCTGTTTTGCTTTACTTTTTAATTAGAATATAGGCTTGAATGTAACACCTTTAATCGTGTATATTCAAAATTTCATAGCAGTTTTACATCCCTTTTTTATTTTGAATGTAGTTCAGTACCAGTAAGAAATGTTAAAATGATTTTATCAAAGAAATACAACTACCAAACCTTTTCCATGTCATCTGCAAATATATTGTTCAAAAGTATTGATTTACCTGGAATGGGCTATCAGTTATTGAGCATGGCCATTCAAACTAGAATTCCCCAAGTGGTGTTAATTTTTAGATGATGCATGTCCTCTAAGGTATCTTTAAACAACATACAAAACTTCAAATCATATAAAAAGCTGTATTATTTTAACTGCTGTGTTGCATAGAAAACAAATGCCTCTCTGATTTAATGAAGTATCATAGATGCCCTACTGATAAAAATAGATCATACTGGACAAAAATTATAAAGGTCCGGAAACTGCTAGGGAACCAGTAATGTATTTTCCAAAGACATGTTTTGTAAATATTTTTTTAAATAGAACTAGCTATTATCACATGGGAATATCAAGATGATATCAGTCAGTAGTTAAGTGTCTGTTGCCTGACTCTATACTGGTGACCTTTGGTTCCAGCATGATTATGGTTAAAAGAAATCCAAAATCAACAAATATTGAGGCAAATCTTATAATATGGCAATGGCTATGATTTAAAAAAGCTAAATGAATACAAACAATATTTGGAGTCTGATAATCCACAAATAATCTGCTAAATTTCTTATAAAGAAATCACCCACCATTTTGCTACTATCTCTTGATAAACAATCAAACTTTTCCCTGAATGGTATAAGTTTTTCATCATCTGGGGGAGCATCTGGGGTTGAGCAATCTTTGTCTGACTCCCGAAACATTGGAAAATGCTGTAAAAGAACCATAACCATATGCTAGGAATATGGGAGTCTCCCTGATTACCAGGAACAAGTGTAAAATGTTCCATCAGGCCGCCATCATTATAGACATGTTGGTTTGCAACTTGACAATAAACAACAATTTCGCATAAGCTAGTCATCTTATTATTTTCTCTTCCACTAATATTGTCAATATTGAAGAAAAATTTTTTTTGGTAAAACAATCCATGAATAAGTCATTGCTATAACAGCAAACATACATGTATGTAGAGAAGGCATATGGTCTAGTATTAACACTGTTAGATACAAGGTCAAGGATTAAAACTTTTATCACTGATACTCTTCCAAAGGAGACTTTCAACCTAAAGAAATGCACATTTCTTAATTGTTAGGTTTTCTTTTCTAAGAGTTTTTCTTTAAAGAAGACTGTTTGTACCTTGCACAATGACTCTCTTCCGAAATAATCACGTACATAGATTACTGATGATGAAAATATATTAATTATCTACAAATATGATTCAAAGAAAACATCATTCATATTAAGAGATTAATACACAGCAGGGTAGAAACAGAAGGTGATAATCGGCCCACAAAATGAATAATGGCCCCCAAGGGCTTCAGTCCATGGGCATTATTCATTCCAGGGCAGATTATCACCTTCTGGTACAACTAAGACGTGTATTAATGTCTTTAATACACTTGGTAGATCTCATAGTAGCATTTTCTAAAAAAGAAAAATATTTTGAAATTTCTTTCGTTGAAATATCTGTCTGCATTTCTACTGTACAGTACAGTAACTTCTATAGAGTTGTTTACTTTTTTGTATACTCAAAGTACACTACTTTAGAATTTTTTAGAAGCAAGTCTTTTTTTTGTTTGTTTTTTTTTAATGAATTTGTGATATTACATTTTGTATTTCTCTAAATTTCAACAGTAATAAAACTATGTGTGTACGAAATACGCTTCAGCTCACATAATAAAATCAAGCGATTCATGCTTAAAACCTACTTTCACTCTTACAGTTAACTGTTTGATGACGTAAAATGTGACGTCATTGTTCCAGTTGGTGCACATGCACATGTTCAGTGGGCTGATAACTAGTTCTTGGCCCCGGGCCGCAAACCCATAATTGGTCACATGACACTCATAATCAGTTGAAATAATAGGCAATTTTGTTACTATATATAGTAACAAGTGCATTAACATGTAATATTATAGTGGGTTTATTTTATGATACCTGCAGGAGAACTGGCCTTGAGTTAGATACTGGCTCCAGTGTATCACAGATGTCAGATACAAACTTCCTCTCCTCTATACCCTGTATAATCAACATCACATTTACAAGACAGTACAAGTGCTATATTGTCACAGCATATAATATTGTGGGATAATTGTACCAGTTTTACATAAATATAACAGATTCTTCATGTATATCAACTTGTATATCAAAATGTGAAAATCTAGCAATATTTTTTGTACAAAAAAAAAGTTATGTAATTTCATAGTCGGGCACAAACTTGAATGAAAAATAAAAACATCACAAATTACACAATAATTATCTTAGTTCTGCAAAATAAAAATAGATGTGTCTTGTAAAATTGTTACTTTTTTTTATATGAACCAGAATATTCAAGAACAGTAAGCAATACCAACAGTCATTTGTGAACATTAGTGTTATTAACTGTCTGAGACAGGAAACGGACAAAAGCCCACCCAGACAAAAGCCCTCCCGTCCATAAATGACAAAGCGGACAATGTCATTTTCACGAGAGGGCTTTTTTCCACGCTGTCATTTTCACGGGAGGGCTTTTGTCTGCTTGTCAGTTTTGAATGGGAGGGCTTTTGTCCGAGAGGGCTTCTGTCCTACACTCGTCTTGAGACTGTTAGTTCAGTTACAATTGTTAAGGTACTCAACATATACCAATACTGTCTTGCATATTAGACAGGATTATCAACTGTTTACACCAGTGCTAGAAAAACCTGTCTTACACACATCACATACCCCCATATAAAACAAGTCCCTTGCCTTAAATGAATTCATTCTCAGGCACCTTTTATGAATAAAGTGCCTTCCTTGACTGACATTATTAACGTAGTTGTAAATTCGTTGTGTGAAATGAAAATATTAGTTTTTGTAATATTACTTCTATGTAATATACAAGAAAAAGAATCAACCACTAGCTGCCATAACAGAAACTCGGCAGAACCTTCTTACCCTCAAGCTAGATATTCTTGTCTGTACCGACATCTAGCGTTAGATTCTTTTAATCTTCTATATATCCTACCATCATTGATGTACTTACTTTTAAACATTTGAGCCGCCATTTTATCTGTCTTAACTGTTCCTCTGCCTCATGGCAAATATTACAACCATCCCCTTCCATGGCCATGCTGTTAAGAAGTACAAAATCTACACCTCGAATTGTGACTAGACGAACAGGAGGTACAGAAAATGCTTCTTTAAATCTGTCATGGTTGCGATCTGACATCCTTCAAACAAAAAATAATAAAAAAGACAATATTATAACATCATGTTAAAATCTTTTCTTTTTTCAGCTTTATCTAAAGAGACTAAAATTGAGATGCAAGCAGTATAGCACAAGACTTACAGCAATGATTGGCTTTAAGTTTGTAGTAACAGCAGACAAGTTGACAATGCTGTAATCACTTAAAAGGGTTAAAAGATAGTCAAAGTATGGTTTAAGACAAACTTAATTTATTTTCCATTTTCAAATTATAAAATAAGCATGAAATAGTGACTAGTGTTTGAACATCATGGTCCTAGATTGCTCGCCTGAGGTATATTGCTAGAAAAGGTCAATGCAGGGTCACCTTGGGGTGCCATGTTTTTCACTCATGTTTTATGAACTTCTGTAAAGGACCACAATGTGTTACATGCCAAATATCTAAGCTATATGCATTGTAGTATTTGAGAAAATTATTCTTGGACAAGCTATTTTTTACACCCGGGGTATAAATTATATAAATTTGGTGGATGTCCACAAAGCATTGTTACATGTACACAAGAACAATCAAATGTAATTTCCTGCTTTCCTATATACTAGTATTCTATAAAAGTCTTTGTGTAACCCTAATTGCTCCCCTCCCCCTAATGACAAGGGTAATTCCAACCTCAAGCGCATGATTAATAATACTTTTGTAGAGGACCACAAGATAATGCTAAATATTTGCTCTGGCTACTGTATTTTTCAAGTTCAAAATTTATAAAATATGTTTTCTTTACAAGTCAAAACAAAGTGACCTCAAGGCAAGGCCAACTTGTGACCCAGAGGCAAGATTACTTTTTTATAGAGATTACTTTTTAGCTCACCTTGCACAAAGTGCAGGTGAGCTTTTAGGATGGCCAACCAGATGGCGTCCGTCGTCTGTCGTCCGTCCACATTTTAAATATTCTCAGGACATCTTCTATGATACCGCAAGGCCAATGTTAATGAAACTTGGCAGGAATACTCTTTGTATGAAGCTCTATCAAGATTGTTCAAAGAATTCCATTTCATGCAGAACTCTGGTTGCCATGGCAACCGAAAGAAAAATCTTTAAATATCTTCTTTTAAAGAATCGTAAGAGCTAGAGCTTAGATATTTGGCATGAAACATCTTCTAATGAGTGTCTACCAAGTTTGTTCAAATAAAAGCCCTAGGGTCAAAATTGGCCCGGCCCCAGGGGGTCATTGATTTTCCCTATATGCATATAGTAAAAACTTAAAAAATCTTCTTTTAAAGAACCCAAAGAGCTAGAGCTAAGATATTTGACATGAAACATCTTCTAGTGAGTGTCTACCAAGTTTGTTCAAATAAAAGCCCTGGGGTCGAAATTGGCCCCGGCCCGGGGGGTCATTGATTTTCCCTATATGCATATAGTAAAAAACTTAAAAAATCTTCTTTTAAAGAACTGTAAAAAGCTAGAGCTAAGATATTTGGCATGAAACATCTTCTAGTGAATGTCTACTAAGTTTGTTCAAATAAAAGCCCTTGGTCAAAATTGGCCCCGCCCCAGGGGGTCATTGATTTTCCCTATATATGCATATAGTAAAAACTTAAAAAAATCTTCTTTTAAAGAACCCAAAGAGCTAGAGCTAAGATATTTAGCATGAAACATCTTCTAATGAGTGTCTACCAAGTTTGTTCAAATAAAAGCCCTGAGGTCAAAATTGGCCCTGTCCCAGGGGGGTCATTGATTTTCCCTATATGCATATAGTAAAAACTAAAAAAATCTTCTTTTAAAGAACCCAAAGAGCTAGAGCTAAGATATTTAGCATGAAACATCTTCTAATGAGTGTCTACCAAGTTTGTTCAAATAAAAGCCCTGAGGTCAAAATTGGCCCTGTCCCAGGGGGTCATAGATTTTCCCTATATGCATATAGTAAAAACTAAAAAAATCTTCTTTTAAAGAACCCAAAGAGCTAGAGCTAAGATATTTAGCATGAAACATCTTCTAGTGAGTGTCTACCAAGTTTGTTCAAATAAAAGCCCTGGGGTCAAAATTGGCCCCGCCCCGGGGGGTCATTGATTTTTCCCTATATGCATATAGTAAAAACTTAAAAAATCTTCTTTTTAAAGAACCGTAAGAGCTAGAGCTTAGATATTTGAACATGAAACATCTTCTAGTGAATGTCTACCAAGTTTGTTCAATTAAAAGCCCTGGGGTCAAAATTGGCCCTGTCCCAGGGGGTCATAGATTTTCCCTATATGCATATAGTAAAAACTTAAAAAATCTTCTTTTAAAGAACCCAAAGAGCTAGAGCTAAGATATTTAGCATGAAACATCTTCTAATGAGTGTCTACCAAGTTTGTTCAAATAAAAGCCCTGGAGTCAAAATTGGCCCCGCCCCAGGGGGTCATTGATTTTCCCTATATGCATATAGTAAAAACTTAAAAAATCTTCTTTTAAAGAACTCAAAGAGCTAGAGCTAAGATATTTAGCATGAAACATGTTCTAATGGGTGTCTACCAAGTATGTTCAAATAAAAGGCTATATACAGGTGAGCGACCTCAGGGCCATCATGGCCCTCTTGTATGTGTATAGCAAAAACTTAAAAATCTTCTTTGAAAAAACCCAAATAGCTAGAGTTTAGATATTAAGCAAGAAACATCTTTAAGTAAATATCTACAAAGTTTGTTCAAACAAAAGCCCGGGGGTCAAAACTGGCCCTGCCCCAGGGGTGTCATTGTTTTTAACTATATGTGTATAGTAAAAACTTTAAAAATCTTCTTTTAAAAAACCCAATGAGCTAGAACTTAGATGTTTAGCATGTAACAACTTCTTATGGGTGTCTACCAAGTCTGTTCAAATAAACAAATAAAAGCCCTTGGGTAAAAATTGGCCCAGGGGGGGGGGGGGGAGCTATATACAGGTGAGCGACCTCAGGGCCATCATGGCCCTCTTGTTTATAGAAACATTTCTTTGAAGTTTGGACAAAAGCCACAATGTTGTTAAGGTGGAGATATTGTTTAAAGAAAGTGTAGACAACAACTAGTGATAAACAGCAGACATCTTGCCATCATATACCAGTTAAAGGTGATCAAGAAAAAAGAGTAAATTATACAGAAGAGTAACTTCCTACAAGGTCTTAGTATGTTACATTGTATTTATAAAATATTGTAATGTCCACAAAACATGGATCTTATCACACCAATAAAACAGAATACTCAATATGTAATCAATCTGTTTTTATGTCTGTGAGAATATTTCCCATACATCACACTGAACTATTGATGTAACCTCAATAGCTATAAATTATTTATATCCAATACAATGAAAAAGATTTGATCTCAAAAGAAAAACACAACATTGATTTAAGCTAATGAGCATATAGAATATGTTATGACATGGTTACAATTAACCTTTGACCTTTAACTTAATTGATCTTTTCATTTCTTTGTGGATCCAATAATCAAGACTTGGAAAATTATCAGAATGTTTTTCGCTTGTTTTAACTTTGGTCTGTCTCTTTGAACCAAACGTGTTCAGCCATTGCTACCAGCTCAGAGCCAGGCCAGCCTGCTCTTCCATGCAGTCCTAATTAACTGGTATAAAAAAATAACCTACACATTATCTACACAGCAGGCGTCTGGTTAGTTAGAGCATTGGACTGTGAATCAGGTAGATTCCCGGATAGGGCAGGTCACTTTCGTTGTGATAAATCCTAAAATCCTTTCTACAGTCATTCGTACTGTACCTCTGCTCTAGCATGTACGGAAGTAATCAGTTCCTTTCATTAGTGAAGGCAACTAGTACTGGTAAAACTGCTTGACAGCCTGCCCGGAAACGATGGGGTGGCTGAACTGGTAAATTCAATATGGCTCACTACCGTGATTCAGAGTGAAAATTACCAACACCACCACCACCACATCTATACAGTGTTGCTGTTTTCAATGTAAGTGAAATACCATATGTACATGCAAATAGTAAACATGGGTGAAATATTACAAAATTCTACAATACTGACTACTTAATGTCAGTATATTATTGCTGAAATGCCTTACGTATGCCATCTTTCTAGGATGAATATTGGCATCAAAGAAATTATTTAGTATTTTCTGTAAGAAATAAATGTTGCTTATTTCTAAAATTCTAAAATTGTAAAGAGACTTGTCCTTCTCTGAGTTTGGAATTGTCCATATTTATTTTTGTATGTGTTTGAAAGCTGTTGGTCTTTGGTTTGAATCCCGCACAAAGTAAGATTTTTCCTGATGCAGCTTGCACCTTTGTAATAAAACTTTGATATATTCATGATTCACTTTCATGAAACAGTGTTCAGTTTGGTCAAAGTGCATCAATAAGGAATCTGGCCTTGCATTAAACTGGTTGTATATTAGACATAGCATTATTAATCACTTGGCACACTTACATATAATGAAAGCCAACATCGTGATTCCCTACTACAATCTCTTGGCTTGTTCCTGTAGGAGTGCTGAACATTTTTCTGAATCGTTTAACATGATATTCAAATTCTTTCCGACTACAAACTTGACCATTGTCCAAAAGGTCCCCTGAAAAATGCATAAAACATAAATTATGTCACATGACTTGCAGACCTTTCAGGTATTTTTCATATTACAAGATTTGTATGTTTGTTTGATTCGGTTTTACGTTATATCGGCACGGTATAGGTCATATGGAGACGTTCTGGATTTACTGGTGGAGGAAGTCCTGAGGTGTCATTCTGTGTATATTTCAGGCACCAACTGGCACCTGAGTAAAACAACCGACTTTCCGTCAGCTAGCTAGATAGCTTGCTCAAATGAGATTTGAACCCACAGCAGTGAGGGTCAAGTGGTTTGAAGTCAACGACCTTAACCACTCGGCCACAGACGCCCCATATTACAAGATATAACTGATAATATACAACATACAGTGTACAATCAATGAGGTTATAAACTGGCCATTGAAAATTTCCTACAAAGTTTAACAAATTTGACTGATTTTATCTTAAGTTATTGATCGCACAAAGACATTTTACAAAGTGTAACTGTGACACTGACCTTTAATCTAATGACCTCAAATTAAATAGGGGTTATCTGCTAGCCATGACCAATGTCCATACCAGGTAACATTAACCACAACATTTTTCTTCTCATGTTATTGATGAAATAAGGATAACAGGATGTACAGATAGACATGCAGGATGCACATAGTTATGGTTCCTCAACACTGTTCCACTTCTTAATGAGATCAATATACCTCTAATACTTTTTGAGTTATGACCTGGACAAGCAAAACTGAGTGGAAAGACATACAATGTATTTTCAGCATACCAACTCCCCACTTCTTACAAGATTGTCTTTATTAAGCAAAACATACATACCTAGTATAAAGACAACTTCAGGACTGTGAATCAACATGCTGGCCTGAAAAGATCGTACCATTTGCCATTCCCTGTAAACAAAATGCATACATTAGTACTCGTATTTTTCAAAAAATCAGTCTGGTTTGAGATCTTTTTATCGTACTTCTCAAAAAGAAATGAGTCTGACATAAATTTTGTATAATTATCTTTATAAAGGCAACATAATTGACAAGAAAAAGATTTTAATTTTAATTCTTAAATATTACAGGTCTGTGAGAAATGGCAGAAAAAAAGCTTACCTCCTTAATTTATCAAACCAATGTGCATCAGACCCGAGTATATGTGTGTCTCCAATGAACATGGCTCGTACCGGGGTCTGTCCTGTGACTCCCGCACTGGCAAGAGATGGCCACATGCACCAGAGTAGCACCAGGTAGTAATGAAGGAACTCACAATAAAATACAGTCAGGAAGACAATTACAATCACTCTAACTGATCTATGCGTCCTTATATAAAAACGAAACCTTTGGAAAAAATAAAATAAAACATGAAGTAAATTTAATAAGATAATTTCAAGGTTTTGAAAATTTAGCATATTGACTCTTTTCTCTCAATTATAAAATTCTTAAAGTTCAATAACCAACATATGGAAAATATACTCCAGACATAATACATTTCATCAATAAGAACTTTGTGATTTAAAGAAAAAAGCATTTTTAAAAGGAAAATGAATATGTATGTGGCAAAACTAACTGAAGAATCTTATTTTCCTTAACCAAGTAGTCTCATGCAGCAAATTGATGCATAACCCTTTTTTCATAATGATTCACCATATAATTCACATCACAATTATTAGTCCCCGATATATATAACTGTTGTAACATGTTTTGAAGTTATACATGTCACTGTCCGAAAAGAAAGTCTGATGATTTATTAAAGGAGTTCATCCGCGCAGTCTGATCAGGATCCATGCTGTTCGCTATCAGTTTCTCTACTTGTAATAGGGTTGGTAAGCGAACAGCATGGATCCTGATCAGACTGCGCGGATGTGCAGGCTGATCTGGATCCATGCTGGTCGCAAACACACTATGTTGGTTTTGTCGTGATGCGGCTCAAATCTGAAATAAAATCTTGCATAGATCAATTGATGTACTTGATCTTGCACAACAAAAACAATCGTTCTGGGAAAACAGAGATAGGAAACGATCTGAAATTTTGCATAGAAACTTTTTGCCTAGACCTTTATCAAATGGTACACAAGTCTTGACAAAAAATATTTCTAGTTCCTTCATGTCAAAAGAAACTTCGGTGGAGTCCATTTAATACACGAACACCACCATTATTATTATCTTTTGAGATACAATAGCATCATTTTTATATACCCTGATAAAGAAAGGCAAATTATTATCAATGCAAGACAAGTCATTCATGAAATTGGGCAAATAATTATTGTACTAAAAGTATAAATTGCTGCATTATTATTTATCTGTACTAGAATTAATAATACAATATTACCTTGCAGGTAATTGGCAGAAAAGCATCAAGAAGTTGGACAGTTTGATTGGCTTCATCATTAACTCTTTCTAACTGTAACAAAAATATAGAGAAAAAGTTATTAAAACTAATAACATAAGTTTCTCATTGATCTAAAGTTCTTAAACAACGTCTGTTACTATTATAGACTATTTTTAGAGTGATAACAGTGTCTATTTAATGATACCTGCATTGTCTATTAAAAAGTAACAAAGAAGGAATAAAAATGTTATACTTGGATGCCAAAGTTTATCAGTTTAAATAATGTGATTATTTCTTATCATTAAAGTGAAATTATGCCCATCTAAGAGTAAATGGCAAGTGTTCAGATACAATTCAAAATTACTTCACATTTTGTCATACATTAAACATGTTTAACATTTTTGTGTGAAATATTTATTGCAGCTTTTTGTTCACTAAAATTGTCTTTAAAACGTTCATTTTATCTCTCCAATCAGTAAGGCTCCCACGTTTACATTTTTTGTAAACGTTTACATGATTGCTAAGAACCGAAACAATACCGTTTAAACGGTGGTACTTCTATATACATGTACTATACTACACCATGTATTCGAGTTGGCAAATGATGACATACTTTCTATTTTTAATACATGTACAAATAAATAATTTTCAGGGCTCATCACAATTGTGTCCGCACACATTTTCTGCATTGTATCCCCATTTCGCTCTTTTGAAAGATCAAAGGAAAATCAACTTTAACCAAAATTTTTATATGCCACAAGCGAATATTGCACGGTGATGCTGCGTGGAGGGTTGTAAACACCGATTTTTACTTTAGAATAAACCAAGTGGAATTGATAAAAGCCGTGATTACAGGCAATGATTAAGATATTTTGTAAGACAATATGGTAATTTGATTAAACGGTAAAAATATCGTAAACGTTAAGGGATGAAAATCGAAACAAATACGTTTAAACGTGTAACTGTGGGGGCCTTGCAACCAGTATGCATAAAATTTCCAAACCTGTGAAACTGCACAATACAAGCTTGTGCAAGGCTATGACTGAGTAAACCTGGTTGTCCCCTTGATAACTGTTATATGCGTTTCTATGCAAATCAAAATGCAAAGATTTCCAATAATCTTTCCATGAGGTAATTGTAAAAGGTCGCAAAATTATAGGATCAGAAAGTGGCAAATTTAACAAGTGCTTATTCAGTTGTGATTACATCAACCCATTTGTTTACTGATAATTATACCCCCATTTAACAGATCTAGCTATCCTGTTTAACTATGTCTGGACTTCATAATTGTGGTGAATTGCCCTTGGCCAAGAAATGGGCAGTCAAGCATGAAGGTGTCGGTGTTTGTTTACAACACATTCACTGAAATTTAGCCTCTCATTTTGCATATATATTGACTGTATCGAATTATATTTGGTTGCAAAATATATTGAAAACATTAACTAAAGTATGATTACATTATTCAGTTTTCTAGTGTGGCGATATTTTAACCACACCAGGGTCTTTCAGATAGAACTATTTAAACTGTTAAAATACCCTGACCACACTTAGTTCTTTGAATATTATATTTTATTTAACTTTTTATGTTCTGTATACAGATACAAACTTTTGACTCCTTTTTTGACTAATTAAGTGTCTCAAAATGCTACTAGGAGAATTTTTTATAGTCTAGTAAAATCATGTTTGTTACAGGACCTACTCGGGCTACTGTAACTGTCCAACCTGGTGATTGTTAAAACAATTTATTTTACTCTTTAGGAGGCTTTATAACAAAATTGAAAACAAATATTATTTGATTTACGTCTAAAATCTACCCATCCTCTTTCTATAGATACTGTATAGTCTCTGTTTTATCTTATTAGTAAATATTGAACTTTCGCACTTCTTGGTTACAAATGTAGTACTTAAATCAAAGGGAAGTAACTTTGATAATCAACTTGAACCGGAAGACTACCTGCATAAATTTGCATGGAATATATTGAACAGATTTTCATTGATTCGAACACATGTCATGCGTTAAACGCTTCATACACTTAACATTAAAGGTATAACCTTTGTTTGGAAGTCGATTTGAGCAGGTAAGCTTCAATCAATGTTCTATTTTGAAGTTGTAAACAAGATAAGTAGAATGCTTTTCGGATAAGAATTTGATTTTGGATGATTTTAGTTGCAATCAAAAGAATGTGTCTTGAATTTCGTTTAACTAATGCGACTAGATGGATATGAAAAAGATGTATAAAAATGCGTATATTTAAAGAATGAAAGATCAACAGATTAAGTGAAAAATCTTGTTTTTTTTGTGTTTGCGTTAGTCTGACATTTTTTCATCTTTTCATATTGGCTCAGACTTCTGTATGTCTGTGTGCTCAATGACTGCTTAACAGTGACCTACTTTAAACTTAAAATTGATATTCATGAAAATTGCTTAGAAGTAAATTATCACCACTTTAAGGCCACAACTAAATTATCACCACTTTAAGGCCACGACTCAGTGGTGACATGTCATACTCAACAGCCAAAGCTGCATTTTGTGCCTTAATGGGGGGGGGGGGGGGGGAGGGGGATGGACATCATGAGACTATATACATACCAAAGGTGCAAATTGATTCTTTCCTATACGTTGAAAATCAGTTTTATGGGGGCTGATTTGATTACCAATGTCAGCTATAACATTTTGGATTCGCTTGACAACCAAAATTAAACACAGAAAAAATGCGAGTTTCATACCCTGTCTCAGACTAGTCTACTGCTTTATTATGTTACATTCAATCGGTTAATTTAACTCAGTCATCCAGTCAGTGAATGTTTAGTGTTTTATTTTTGGTAAGCAAATCATAATGTGTAGAGTCTAGATGTTCTTTGCTTACTTTTGGAATTATTTATACTTAAAAATGTTTGATACTGCTTGTTTAATGTTTGATTATTTTTGTCTTAATCCTTTAAGTGCTGGACCCGAAAACATTGAGTCTTTGCCACCAGTATAGAACCAGGCCAGCATGCACATCCGTGCAGTCTGACCAGGCTCTATACTGTTGGCTGACAAATTTTAAATATTCATATTGATATCCCTAAAATTGATAATGGACAGTCCCAAAAATGGAAGTGGGACAAGTCCATTTAAAATATTCAGCATGTTCAGGGTTAAGTACAGTATAATATTTTATCTGTGAATATTATCTCAATATTATTATAGAGATAAATGAACGCACCTTTATGATACATAATCATGATTGTCAATTTGATTGGTCCCTACCTCTGAACTTTTATTTGAATAACAACAGATTTAAAAACAAACATTGACATGTGCTCTTTTCTTAACAAAGATGTGGTGAAATTCTTATTGGAATCCTCCAATCTGATTAAGAGAAGAAAGAGGAAGAGTGTTGTTTCAGAACTCTGAACGGTTTATTTCTACCTTGCTTACATTTTGAATTGTCTTCTTTTATAATACTTAATAATGCTTTACTCATTTACTTATAATAGGCATTATTCTTTGACTAACGTCTTTCATATTTGGTAGGTAGACACCTTTGGTAGTCTCCTAACTTTGATTGTAGCAAGGGGTTATTATGGTCAAGTTCAAGGTCACTGGTGCTTAAAATAAATTTTTTTTTTTACACTTTTGCTCTTTTGCAGGTACATCCCTTTTGGTAGTCCTATAATTTTTGGTTGAGTAAGGGGACTCTGAGGTCAACCAGTGCAAAAAAATATATTTCTTTTATTATTTGATAGGTAAATATCTTGGATGGCCAGTGGAAGTGGTCATTTGGGTCAATGTTAAGGTTTGACACTGATAAATATAGATTTAGCTCATGCACCTTTTATTTTTTGGCTGATTGTTTTCATATTTGGTGAGTAGATATTTTGGGTTGTCCTCTAACTTTGGTTTATTATAGTAAATATTCCTGATCAGTTGTAAAACATTGGCTCTTCCCTTATACTTCAGATAATATTTAAAAGCCACTTATATAGAACATTAATAAAAACTGACGCAATTCACCTGGGTTCTAAGGCATTTGTTTGTTCACAAGAAAGTAACAAATGATATATCCCTTGGTATTAAGAGTCTTTGTGATACCTTCTTCTATTATTTTTTTTCAGTTGACCCGAGTCACATTTATGGAAAACAATAAATAATGATTAAATTTTGAAATTTTACAACTGATATCACATTTATAAACAAACAATATGTCAGATGCAATCATGTGACTGAACTTATTTCATTATCATTAAAACATTGAAAATACGCAGGCTAGGGGAGTAGCCATTGCCTGAAGTGATATATTTCTGTTTCGATAATTTACTTCCTTTTATGAAAAATCTAATTTTTTTACAACAGTTTACATTGGTGTCTGTGTTACTTCCATTACTCATGCAGGAAAATAAAGCAGCATGCATCCAGATTCATGCCAATTTTCATAAAAATTTTAAAAATGTATTTAAAAACAAAATATTGTGGAGTGAACAAAAGAAATAATTTACATACTGTTAATGGCATTTACAATCCTCATAAATTTCCAAAAAGTTTTAAAATATGCAAAAATAGCCGTCATTGTGTTAGTCATGCTGTAGAAATATGGTGATGAATAATGCAAATCAGTCATTATAGCACAAAACATGTTAATCAATACTTGAATTTGGAATAATTTTACTTTTCTTAAAATCCTAGTAGATCTACATTTTCCCCAAATTTGATTTTCTTAAAATATTTTGGCTCATCTGGAGGCATGCAGCTTTAAGGGTGCAGAGCCTGAAGGTTTTACAATTTTTTTTGTGTTGTCTCTGCTTACATAACCCATGAGAAGAAATTTCCAGCTAATTCTTTGTAGTGTAATTGTTTATTGTTTATTTCTGCCTTGTCATGTTTTCCACAAAGTATAAAGTAAATTAATTTTCTAAGAGAAATGTCAAAACTTATTGCAAGTCTATAAATCACTGTGAGTCTCATTTCAAATAGTTTATGAACTAATTTGTTAGTTTGCAAGGAAATATCTTAAAGGAAATGAGCATATTGTAATTACTGTAAGAATTTTGTTTCTAGGAAATGTCAAAGGTTATCTATATTGTTATCTTACAGGGATATTAGCCGTGTCACAACAAAACCAACATAGTGCTTTTGCGACCAGCATGGACCCAGACCAGCCTGCGCATCCGCGCAGTCTGATCAGGATCCATGCTGTTTGCTTACCAAAAGAGAAACTGATAGGGAACAGCATGGATCCTGATCAGACTGCGCGGATGCTGGTCGCAAAAGCACTATGTTGGTTTTGTCGTGACGCGGCTCATTATTATCTTTGTGGTATTTCTTGTTTCTAATTTACTAAAACTGAAATTTCAGAAAGACCTATTATTAAAGACTGGATGCATCATTGTGTGGCATCAACACATTGGTCTGTTCTGAAAGAACTAGTCAGATTTACCTCTAAATTACAATGATAGGAATAAGACTTGTCATCCAGTCAAAGATCTTTTTCAACCTTTATTCTATATAACCCTTATTAGTCCCTGACCGGTTTAACTGGAAAAAATGCGAGGTTTATACCCTATCTCAGACTAGTCTACTGCTTTATTATGTTACATTCAATCGGTTAATTTAACTCAGTCATCCAGTCAGTGAATGTTTAGTGTTTTATTTTTGGTAAGCAAATCATAATGTGTAGAGTCTAGATGTTCTTTGCTTACTTTTGGAATTATTTATACTTAAAAATGTTTGGTACTGCTTGTTTAATGTTTGATTATTTTTGTCTTAATCCTTTAAGTGCTGGACCCGAAAACATCGAGTCTTTGCCACCAGTATAGAACCAGGCCAGCCTGCACATCCGTGCAGTCTGACCAGGCTCTATACTGTTGGCTGACAAATTTTAAATATTCATATTGATATCCCTAAAATTGATAATGGACAGTCCCAAAAATGGAAGTGGGACAAGTCCATTTAAAATATTCAGCATGTTCAGGGTTAAGTACAGTATAATATTTTATCTGTGAATATTATCTCAATATTATTATAGAGATAAATGAACGCACCTTTATGATACATAATCATGATTGTCAATTTGATTGGTCCCTACCTCTGAACTTTTATTTGAATAACAACTTTAGGTTTACCCTCCGTCCGTCCGTCTGTCTGTCCGTCCGTCCGTCCGTCTGTCAGTCTGTCTGTCTGTCTGTCTGTCAGTCCGTCCGTCCACAAAAATGGATCCCGCGATAACGCAAAATGTACTGAAAATATTTTAATGAAACTTGATATATGGATAGATGGCAGTATGGAGATTATGCACGTCTTTTTTCTTTCTTCCTATGTTGAAAATTCTGGTTGCTATGGCAACAAATAGCCTGAAAATATGGCAAATTGAACACATAAACTGGATCCCGCGATAACACAAAAAGTACTGAAAATATTTTTATGAAACTTGATATATGGATAGATGGCAGTATGGAGATTATGCACGTCTTTTTTTTTTCTTCCTGTGTGGAAAATTCTGGTTGCTATGGCAACAAATAGCCTGAAAATATGGCAAATTGAACACATAAACTGGATCCCGCGATAACACAAAAAGTACTGAAAATATTTTTATGAAACTTGATATATGGATAGATGGCAGTATGGAGATTATGCACGTCTTTTTTTTTTCTTCCTGTGTGGAAAATTCTGGTTGCTATGGCAACAAATAGCCTGAAAATATGGCAAATTGAACACATAAACTGGATCCCGTGATAACGTAAAAAGTACTGAAAATATTTTTATGAAACGTGATATATGGAAAGATGGCATATGGAGATTATGCACGTCTTTTTTTTTTCATCCTATGTTGAAAATTCTGGTTGCTATGGCAACAAATAGCCTGAATTTCAAGATTTCTGATTTAAATTTTTCAGCTTTTTCACTATAAGTTCTTTATTTCTTAAGGTGTTTACT